AGATATGGCCACTCTTAAAAAAGAGCCAGAAAGGCTCTGTGTTCGGCAGTTTGAGGAGGTTATCCACACCATTGCTAAAAAAGGTTTTCCCTCCCTTCTTCCATTAGGCTTTTGGACTCTATAAAGGTATTGGGTCACCAATGATGGGACTTACGTTCATTAACGCGGTGGTGTTCGGAGTGCAAGGAAACACCCTCCGTGCTCTGGGCAAAGACACTCCTCTGAACCAGTTCCTTGCAGGGTCAGCAGCAGGGGCCATCCAGTGCGTCATCTGCTGTCCCATGGAGCTGGCAAAGACAAGGATGCAGCTTCAAGGAACAGGCGAATATAAACTAAAAACGAAGAACTACAAAAATTCTCTGGACTGTTTGATCAAAATCTATCAAAAGGAAGGGCTGAGGGGTATCAACAGGGGCATGGTTTCTACCCTCATAAGAGAAACTCCGAGCTTTGGCTTTTACTTCCTGACCTATGACTGCATGACTCGGTATTTAGGCTGTGAGGCTGAAGACAGTTACGTTATTCCCAAACTGCTGTTTTCTGGAGGGATGTCGGGCATCGTGTCGTGGCTCTCCACCTATCCCATGGATGTGATCAAATCGCGGCTTCAGGCCGACGGTGTGGGCGGCGTCACGCAGTACAGCGGCATCCTGGACTGCGTCCGCAAGAGCTACCACGAGGAGGGCTGGAGGGTGTTCACGAGAGGTCTCACCTCCACGCTGCTCCGTGCTTTTCCCGTCAATGCAGCCACCTTTGCTACTGTCACTGTGTTCCTAATGTACATGAGATCAGAAGACAACATTCCTGAATGTGAACCAGGTCCAGTAATCCATCAGCCTTCCAGTTTGTGAACCTTCTCTCTTTGTTCTCCTCATCCAAAGCCCAGCTGGTTGGGTTTTGTGAGACATGAACACTTGACCCACACAGGTAGTGTAGATTTATGCTATCTGTATAAGGAATTCCTAAATGTATCAAATTAGGATCTGATCTCACTACTTGTATAAACAGCATATTGCCTTATTCAGGAGTCTGTATCCAGTCATATTCAAGAGGGGGACCTGCCTTTAGAAAGCTGCTGTTCTGTGGCTCCAGAAGAGGCTCTGGAGTGTTCTAGCACCAGAAGTTGAATTTTCTTTCACTCAGGTTCTGAATGACTGAGTTGACTTAAATGCAGAAATGTTTTCATGAAAGAAATATTCATTTTGTATGTGACAGGAGTAAGTGTACTCCTCTAAGGTGAAGAAGGAGGAAGAACTTTAATGGTGGAGGCGTTTGGCTGGTAACCCTAAACTGTAAAGACGTGTTTAGTTCTCCTTTGCTTTTATATGTCAATGGTTGTAGTAGCAACTTTGTTCATACTGATTTGTAAAAAGCAAACAAAAAAATTTGTACCTACGTTAGTCCCTGACCTTTCAGCTTTGAATAAATATCTTAAGCACAAAGTTGCAACTGCACTCAAATGCACTTGTTCCTTAAATCTGAAGGCTTGTAAGGATTTAGGGAAACTCAAATCTAGTGAGACTGGTGTTATTTGCCCTCACTTCACCTCTTTCTCATTTGGTGGGTGCACAGATTGCATTGAGTAGTTCAGTCCTGTGGACTTTGTTCTCTGAAGTTAATGCAGCATTGCACCACTTCTCCCAACATGCCCCATGGCAGCCAGTGATGTACAGAAGTCAAAGTCCTGCCTGTGGTATTGCACAAAATGTTTGTGGGTGCAATATTAGCTTAGCAGCTTGAAGTATCTTAGAAATATGTACATATTTAGGACTGGAGTTTCATACCTTTCCAGAAAATAGGGGTGTAAGTGTCTGAAATTGTTGCTGTTCAATACACTTGCATTATGAATTTAAACAATATTGATTTTCATGTATTTAGTTACAGTGCTACTGGAAAGAAGACTGAAAAGGGTTTTAGAGAATTTTCTTGTTTCATTAATCTGCTGTAATTTTTTTTTTTTTACCAGTCTGTTCAAGAAGAATTGAATTAGCCAAAGAGCTACAAATAGTTATTTAAGGTTTGAGCTAAAAGCTACACATATTGGGCACAAATAGCCAGAAAGAAGGACTGTATGTATGTGAGCAATGTTTTAAAACATATCAAACTTGTTCAGTAAGTACAATTTGCTACATTTTTGGTTGGGACAAGTGCAATATGTGTTTAATATATATGACTTTTCTAAAGAAGTATAGAATGCTATTTCATAGCATTTTGCACTGTAACAAAATATGCTGGAGAAACCTGTAAATCGGTATGTCTTTTTATACCTTGAAGGTATGGTGGATGTTTTAGTGCCTACTTGCACTGAGATTCAAATTGAATGTTAAATCTGTCTACTAAGCTGCATATGCACAACAAATCACAGCAAAGACCATTTACACCTTTGTACAGGAGTATGTCAAGTCTTGTGTATATATTGAGGAAATAAATTTTTAAAAAATTTTGCCTTTGGTTCTTTGAAGTTCGTTTGGGTTTTTTTTATGTTTTACTCAGATGCTTCTTTGTGTTAACTCAAGCTTGCATGAGGCTGGGGATTCTGGTCTTTGCCAGGGAAAACTTGCTCTGTATCTGCCTGGTGTGCACCACTGGGAAGGGCAGGACTTGCTCTGGCTTAAGTGCCACCAAAGAAGGTAAGTTGCCTGATCTCAGTTCCTTAAACTGACCTTTCCTCTACTGAAAGAACAATCCTGCTTTTAAAGCCAAAGAGCTGTCTCTATGGTTAGACACTTCCTATTCTGCATTTATTTGGTTTAATCTGCACTGAGGCACAGCTAGGGAAGACAAGGCTTGAGTCCCTGCAGGGTCACATCCAAATCAAGTAGCAGGTGTCCATTACCTCTCTGGCCAACACCTTCCAGCACCTCACCACTCTCCCAGTAAAGAATCTCAGTCCCTAACACCTCATCTCGACCTACTCTCAGATTAAAACTGTTGCCCCTTATAACTCCACACCCTTGTAAAAAGTCCTTCTCCACATTCCCAGCAAATCCCCTTCAGGTACTGGAAGGTGTCCCAGAGCCTTCTCCTCTCTAGGCTGAACAGCCCAATTCTCTCAGCCTGTCTTCAAAGGAGAGGCGCTCCAGTCCTCTGATCATTTTTGTATCCTTCCTCTGGACTCACTCCAGTAGGTTCATGTCCTCTTCTTCAGGGGTTATTTCAGGTACTGGCTCCGCTAATTGATCTTCTTAAAGGGCAGACACACATGGGTGACACAAACCCTGCCAAGTGTCCATTCCTGGCTCAGAAAACAGCACGGCCACCACCCCTCCACCTGACCATGGCCAGGGTCAGTTCCAGTCAAGTACCTTTTGTTCTCTCTGCAGGAACAACAACGATGTTCAACACTGAACTATGGAACAGAAACAAATAGCTGGAATAAGCAAACAGTGTCTCCTCAGAAGACTAATATAATTAAAATGGAAAAGGGCTATACAATGTTTTACTTGCAGTGGTTACTAAAACGTTATTTCCAGAAATTCATCCATCTGGAACTTAAATAATCAGTAGCAGACACTGGATGTTACTCAACAAGCCTGAGAAGAGGCTAAAGTCAGCTTTCATCCTAGTCTGATGCCACCTGCTTGAAATCCATGTGACTTCTAAGTATTAAATCAAGCTAGACAATAGCCCCAGCGTTTTAAATCACGATACAGTTCTTTCCTGATGTATTTTTGAGATGTGAGCCAATTCAGACAGAACTACCTCCTGCCTTCCCAGATCCTCGTTTCCACACCATTATCAAACAATTCCCAAATAACTGAAGGGATTAAGAAGGTAAAAATCACTGAAAATGAAGCTCATTATCAAGTCCCTCTGCCCTGTTTTTTCTTAAACTAGATGAGTGATGCCACTTTTAAAAGTTACAGCCACAAACATGTCCTATTAGGAAAAGAGGGGAAAAAAGTACCCATGCATACTACTTCTTGACTAAGTTACTGTATAAAGAACAACTAGTGTGAAATTTATTTATCAGCTCTGTAACACGACAAGTTTTTTGTCCTCTCTGCCTTGTCTTTCTCTCCATATCTGCAGTGATAGGACAAGGGGTAAAGGCCTTTAGCTGAAAGAGGGCAGGTTGAGATTGGCTATTAGGAAGAAATTCTTTACTGTGAGGGTACTGAGGTCCTGGCACAGGTTGCCCAGAGGAGCTGTGGGTGCCCCACCCCTGAAAGTGTGCAAGGCCAGGCTGGACGGAGGTCTGAGCAACCTGGTCTAGTGAAAAGTGTCCCTGACCATAACAGGAGGTGTTGGAATTAGATGATCTTTATGGTTCCTTCCAACCCATACCTAGGATTCTATGAAAACGTTTTTCATAAAGTTCAGGTAAAGGGGTAGCAAGACATACAAGGGATGAAAACTTGTCCATTGTAGGCGCAGCACTGGCAGCATACTGGGAAAAAGACTAAGACACAAATGTAAACATTGACCTTGCAAAGAAAAAAGGTGTTTGTTCTTTTAAATTAAATGTATTTATTATTATGCTGGACAACAGGTATTAACAGTTTTAATGTTAGCTGCTGTTAGCCTGACTTCTAATCCATGGACAGTTAAAGATCAATTTAAAACCCAGAAGTGTGCCAAACACCATTAGATTGGCAGAATGTGCAGTTAAATCTATCCTCTGCCACAAAAACAGGCAGAGAAAATAGAAGCTTACCCAAGCCAACACTCCCGATCAAACACCACATCCATGCAGACAGATGAAGGATCCCAGGGACTCTGGGAGGCACAGCAAGAGATCAGGGAAGCAGAGAACTTGCTGGGCCAAACCTAAGGGAGACAGCCTTTGATATCAAGGGGAAGCTAACAGTTGCTTTCCAAGTTCAGGAATTTATGTGTGTCCAGGGGAGACAAGCAGAGGAAAATAAGCAAATTTCATCTTCCCAGTGCAACTGTTTTGCAATTTTTGTATTAGTGTTGTTCTCACTAATTGCAAAAGTGGTTATCAACAGAAAAAAGTGACATAATATACACAATAATACATAAGAGATACAGTAAAAGCTTTTCTACTTATAGTTTATTACTGGTTTTATCTGAGTTGACCTAGAAAGTGATGTTGATCTGTACAGATTCATCAATAAATAAACTGAAATCAAGGTAAGGTCTGCAGTGTACACTAATGCCCTACAGATTGATATAAATGGAAGAACATCAAGTTCTAATGTTCATGAAATGTTCTTAGGGTCTATACAGTGTAACAACTCACACAGTCAAATTGCTTAGTCATCATTCACTATCATAATTTATTATGACTTTTTCTTACTGAAAGAAGCACACTGCATTTTTTTGTTGACAGTAAAATAGACTTGTACCATTTTAGCCACATCCATGTGTCAATCAATAAAATACATGGTCTGCACCGTTTCCTACATATATCTCAGAATAGAAAGAAGTGTTCTCAAGTAATTTGACTTGGCCAGATTAAAGTTGGTACAAAATAAACAGAATATTCTTCTTCTAGGATCTGATCTATTATCTTAAGCAGAGATTTATTGTAGATTAGGAATACTTCAGTGTTGCAATCAACCAGGCCATACACCTTCTTCCTTGTACACTGAGGTATTTTCACTTAGGAAGGTATTTTCACAATTAGGAAGAATCTATCAAAGGTGCTTTTCAAACAGGCCAGTAATGAAGTTCAAACTTTAACTGCAGTTAAAGGAGGTAAATGTAAAAATTAATTCTACCGTTAAATTCATCCAGGCAGTTACCTGCTTTCCTGCCAATTCTAAACAGAGAGACTGGACACATTTTCATTTCACACTCTGGAAAAAATTGAGATGAAATCCCCTGTCCCTAGCCTACGCAAGAGGCAAAAATAAAAACAAGCAAACCAATCAACCAACACGAGAGGAAAACCTAAAGACCTCCCAGAAGTATTATTCCTTACAATCCGTTTTCAAACCATAAACATTTGTATGCCCTTTGAAGCTATGGGAGTCAGTAGATTCATATAAATCTGTTGGAGGTTCAGTCAAAACATCAGGTAAGACTGAAAACTGAAGGATTCTATATCAAAAGAATAGATATTTTCTGTTTTGCTAAGAAAAAAACACTTGTTGAAAAGTAAATCAAAGCATAAGCTTCATGATGCCCCATGTTTGAAGCAGTCAAAACCTTTGTAAGCCAAAACTGGCACGGGCAAGGTCAGTGAGGTCCTTGGCAAGTCCACCTTGCAGCTCTGAAGGACACCTGACTTTATGAGCCCTTAAATCAAAACACTAACCTACAGTTTTCCACAGATTTGTCTTGCAACCAGTTCCCAAGATGAGTTTTGGCCAAAGAACATTAGGATCTATCTGGTCACCAAGACTTTTTGTGTATGGATTTGCCACTGTTTAACAAGCAGTACATATTATGCCACAGTCTTCACATGCTCTATCATTTTCCTCAAAAATATTGGTTATTCACATTCTTTTGAAATACACTTTTCCTGTGGGCCTGCTCCAGGGAGGAAAACCAGTTACTTGAGATCTCTGATCCCCTAAAGAGCAGCAATGCAGGACCCTGATGAAACATGGGTCCTGTCGTTCAGTCTCTGCAATGGCCTTGCACGCAATATGAGCAGCAACAGACTGAAGCAAAGGCCCGAGCTGCCTCAGAAGAGCTTGGGCATTTTAGGATGCCTCTGCTGGAGAGAAGCAGTGATGTTTTACAGGTACAGCAGTTAACCAAAACAGCCACTCACAGCTGAAAGCACATTCATTAACACCGTTGATCACTGGATTTCCACATCACTCTCTACTTCATATTAATATTTGATGGATATATGTATATATGACCCACGTCACACTCAACAATTTTTATTTACAGTGCCTTGCTGGTGCTTTAAATGAATGCACAAGTACACTCAGGACTCTCAAGAAATCAGCACACAATTGTACTTCCTATTCTTCTGAGCGGTGTGCAGGCATTTTGCTCTTTGACACTGGCACGCTCCAAGTGTGCCAAGGTGCACTGACCACCACAGGACCCACACTTGACCTCGCAGGGGCACCCTGACACTGCCATTCTGTCTGCTGGTCACGCTATGCAGAGAGGTAATTCACTGCCATCTCCTGGCAAACTGCTACCCGGGAGTTTCTGAACTGAAACAAAGCACTGACACACATCAGCTGATCCCACAGCTATTAGAGGAATCACACTTAAACCTGCAACATCTCTTAAAAAGTGGTGGCAAAGAGAGCGCCCACAAGTCCTGCAAAGACGCCACAGACTTGCCATCCCTTCCTCTCCCTCCCAAAATTCACCAGCAGTTTGGACAGAACTTCAGGCTTGCTCCCGAGGACAGCCCCCAGCAGACAGAGGAACCTGGTGAGAACAGCAGCTCACAAGAGGGTGTCACATCCACAGCAGGACACACAACAGAGGCTGTGGTACCCAACCAGCACCCAGGCTTAGAGCTTTTCTCTTAGAAGTAACAGAAGATTTGGAAAACCCTAAAATGGGAATTGTCTAAAGCCCAGTTGCTATAACAAATCTTATTCATTCACCTACAGCAAAACAGTGTTTTCCTGCCACTGTAGGGGAAACCAGGACCTGAAAAATTCACATTAACTCTTATACGGAATCTGATGTGCTTGCCTCAAAGGAAATGCAACACTTTCCAGACATTTCCAGAGAAAAATATTGAAAAAAAATTCCTAAGTTAAACTTCCTTAATAATATAGGATCAATGAGAGTTTACATAAAAGCTGGCTTGCTTTAGGCAAAGAGAATGAAGTTGAGAAAAGGATGACTGATTCAATTACCTTACAAAATTAAACCAGTAGCCACCCTGGTGGCATTTCAGCATTGCTGTAAAGCCATTATCACACTCTAGCAACTTGACACTAGACCAATTCATATTATCAAACTGAATATTGAATATCATAATACAAGCACATACAGTCCTGCTCTGGTTCATGTCTACCTTTGCACACCACTGTGCAGATGTTCCTGCTTGTGTTCAGTAACAGGGTTGCACTCCCTCTGCTCTACTTCACTTTCACATCTTTTGCCGTGGGACTCTTCCCAAGGAAAGTACTGCATTTAAAAGTATTCCATTTACACAGCCAGAAACAAGCATACGGAAGCCAACTGTTATTTGTATTCCTGCCTGCAAAATTCACACCCAATATTCACTTTTGAAATCCTCCCCACGTTCCCCTCAGTAGCTTTAAGTGCTCCGGGAACTTGAGTGCAGTAAAGCTCACTGCTGACACAAACATGCTTTACTCCTCTCCTCACACCATGATTACACAGATTTTAGAAGGTGCTGTACAGATTAAAAACTTCTTATTCTGAAATGCCATCATTATGGATACACATTATAGACAAACCAATGCCAGTAGCAGCTGCCACTTGACTGATAAAGACTTCTCAGACAGATTTGTCTAGCAGCCCTGATGAAAAATCCAGATTTTCTCTATTGCTTCAAGGTATTAAGGAAACACTTGGAAGAATGATATTCAGCACATACTGTCCTCAAATTTACGCATCAATTGAGTAGAAAAATCAACCAGCCCCAGTTTTTCCAAGGCATACTGACAAAATATCCTGTGAGCTATGTGATGAGCACATGGAAACACTTGTTATCACAGCCATGACACTTTGAAGGAATTCACTTTCTTCAAGCATTTTAAAACCTCGTTACTTTTGCAGTTTCTGGTAATTACTGCATCTTTTGCTTTTTACCCACTGTGGAATTACTAGAAAGGATCTCCACCTGCCCTTAAAACTACATTATTGCTGACAAAGTGTTGTCAGGATGTGTTAAGTATTTGGCTTTGTTGCTTGACAACTTGCAGCCATTACAGGGAAAAGTCAAAATGCACTACCTCAATTCCACAGTGACCCTCTTCAAACAGAAGATAAAATTCAGTGCAGGTTCAGCTGAGGAGCTGGCATTCTCTTTATTAAGGATTTATTCTCCTAGCATTTCAAATCTGAACCTGCAGTCCTCCTACAGTAACCTTTTCAAGAAACACTCTCCACAAATAATTAAGTTGTTCATTTTGCATTTACTGACAGACCATAAATAGACAGAGAAAAGTCTGGTCAGTTCTACCTTTAAAGTTGGTCTGAGTTTGCCTCCTTTCATTCTGACAGCAGCAGAACAAAACAAGGCCTATGTACAATCAAATGAGCAGTACAACATGTGTAATGAATAAGCATGGAAATTTTTTGCCAGTTTTAAACCCGCATTTCTACCACCCCTCATCTCCTTCTCCCCTTACCTGAACTTGCTCACAAATTGGTGGTGCAATGCAGGAACTCAACAGCACGATGGGAATGGTGGTTTCAAAGTCAACTCTGTTGCTATTCTCAAATCCTGTAATTTCTTCACTGAAAAACCTTGAGGAAAACTCTGGAATCAATTAAGCAGGATGTTTTAAGAGCAAGGTGTGCCAATTATACCCTAAAAGCTTAAACAAGTTATAGCAGCTGCTCAGTGCTTGTATATATTCATACCTAGTATGAATTAAGTACTTACAAAGCAAGACCTTTCAAGCTACTGAGTGTTGCTACCTGCACTAAGGCGTATATTGAGTGCTACTGATTTGAGGCCTAGATGGAAATGTCTCTCTGTAATGAGATGCAATATAACCAGAGGCAATAACAGTTACAGTTCCCAGTTGGTCCTCAAATCAATATTTAACATAGCTTAGTCTCAAATGTATGTTCAAAGTAACATAGTTCAGTCCCTAATGTATGTTCAAGGATGAAGTACTGATACCTCGCAATTCAATAAATGACTTTATAACACAGGAAAGCAAACTTCTGTGTAAGCCTAACACCATCACAGATACTGCTTAAGAAAAAATATAAGGTCAATTAGAACTAGACTGAATTAATTTTATTTCCTTCCAAAAAGAATAGACACTAATTTAACTGTATACAGAATTTAATTTAACTATAACTATACAAGTTTCGGTATATTGTCCTGTTCAAAAACTGCTTATATATAAAAGAAAAAATACTGCCAAAATTCTAACGCATACTTTACAATTAAATGTCCCAACTTTCTTTCTACCTCTAATAACCTCAGACTAGAGTTGCAGTGTTCAGATTAACTTATGTATGGATGAAAATTCCCTTGGTCGTAAGTGCAGTTTCTTTATTACCCATGTTTTTGCCACTACCACCAACACTGGACTCTAAATTAAATTTTACAGTATTAGCAATGAAAACTTTGATGAACCTTTTAAGAACAGAATTCAGAAAAAGATTAACAACACTTTTTACTGCATTAAAATATGTTACATGCCTCTAAAAAATAACTTATGCACTTCTCTGCATATTCTTCTGTTTATTAATCTGTCACATTTTACTATAGTATCTAAGTTTTCTTTGAACACTTGAACAAATGAGAAGTAACCACTCTTAGTTAGACCATCAAAACTCAACTCCATCTAGTTCTTAGAACTTCAAGTTCTTGTTTTGAAACAAAAGGTGTCCAATAGGGTTCCAAGAATTTTTATCATTACACTCAAGCAAGTTAGACAAAAGAAGAAACGGTTTGTTTTTTTCCTGGTATGATCACCCAAACCCTACCATTTCTCCACTTTCTATCGTTACTGCATTTAAACTGCCAACATTCCTTACCTTGACTAAACAACGGTTTCCATTAAGTTATTTCCTGTACTGTTTTACCTAGTTGCTGTCCAGGCACACAGAACACTCCCCACTACACTGCCACATCTCCAAATCCATCGTTCCAGTTAATGGAAGTCTAGGTCACTCAAAACCAGAATTACAGTCAGCAATTCTGTTTAGATATACCACCTGATGTGGCATTAACTTAACTACATCACAAATCACTGTAATTGAATGCAAAGTAAAGGAAACTTGAGTTTATTTAGCTTCCAGTTTCTGGGAGGTCAAGAGGAACTAGAACTGCTCTGGACAACAAAAGAAAATTGACTGCGCTTACAGATCATTTTCTGCCAGATTCTTTCTTTAGGACCACTGTTTTATTGTTGTCCTTTCTATTACATGGGGGATGTACATATTACCAGGTGTTAATAAACGGTCAGTGCCTGTACAATACATTCTACAACTGAGCACCACTTTCCGTAACTGAACAGGCAAATTACACTGAACATCAGCATCTGGCAGTATTTCTCCAAAAAAAGTGACTAAAATGGGTTTAAATTGATTAACACTATTAAATCACATCTAATATTTGATACTACATGATTTCATTACAGCTATACGATACAATTATACAAAATGTGTTAACATCAAAGAATACAACCAAAATTAAGATAGCAAACAAAACCTATATAACTTTTCTTTCTTTACAGGAAAATACTTTTGAAGTATGCATGTAACTGCCCATTCTTTTAAAGAAAATCTACCGCAAGCAAGTTATCAACCTCCAGAAAATCACACATAGCATTACTACGCGTATCCCCAAAAAGTGTACAATATGCACACTTGGAAAATACAAAATTAAAAAAAATTGTAAGCAACAGGTGAGCTTCATATTTATAAGAATGTGAAAAGAAGTCCAATTTTAGCACTGTTGTATAAAGAATTGTCTTTTCTGATGCAAGTTCACGAGCTGACCCGTCCGGTTGGGGCCACACTTTACAAAACACCGTGTTCTTGAAACGGGCTTACAGACCAAGGTGGATCATCTTAGTAATGTCACCTTCAAGTTTTCTGTGTGGTTTTTTTTTTGCTTTTTATTTACTACTTATCAAAACACGTCCTTAAGTTTTGTAGGGTTCTTTTTTTTTAAAATTCTTTCCTAGAAACAATATACAAAGGGGAGGCGTATTTCTTTCCAATTGATTTTCCTGTAAGATGCTTTGAGTTCGAGAACTTTCTCCTCGACTTTCACTGGTTGTTTTTGGCCTTAGCGTGTGTTAAGATGTGAGATTTCAGGTTGGTTGATTGCGCAAACTTCTTATTGCAGCCGTCAAACGGGCAAACATAGGGCCTGTCACCAGTGTGAATTCGCACGTGTGTGCGTAAATTGAAGTCCAGTGAAAAACGCTTTCCACATCCTTCAAATGTACACTGTTGGAAGGAAAAGAAACACTGTTAGCTAGTGGAAGTCATCACCATCACTGAGCAGAAAAACAGTCTTCTTTAAATCACTAGACTGCACCAACATGAAGCCAGAGGCTGTAAATTGTTATGGGTGAAGCCGGGGGGATCCCCTGAGAACTGCACTGAAGACTGCAATACTTCAGTATATAGTATATATACAATAGCATATCTATTTTCAAAGAGGGAAATGATCTTCAGCTTGCAAGCAAGCACTTCCACTAAAGACATCTTCTCTGCATGTGAAACTGTATCTACACTGTATGACAAAACAGAAACAGGATTTCATAGCAGAACCTCCCCCTCTGAGTGATGATCTGCACTTTCTCATTTTATCTGCTTTACTTTTAAGACTGAGTTGATATAAAAAGAACAGCACATTTAGTGTTTCTTTTATTTACTAAACAGAATATTCAGTGTATGCATCCAAGCAAATGCCTGAGGACTGCAAATCAAGTTTCTGAAATAATTTATTGTTGCTGATTATTTTAGAAAAATCCCATGTATCTTAAGTATGTCCTGGGGAAGACATATATGATCAAGACTAAAAATAACTTTAAAGATTTATAGAGAGTATCGTATGAAGAGGGCAGGGGACCTCTGGTGGCAGACGCCCACGTGACTCAATATAAATGGAAAGAGATTCAGAGACTCCATCATTTTGTTGAAAACCAATTAATAAACCCTACTGAAAATTAGGACCCTGAGGTAACTAACTGAGCAAGCAGCCCCAAGTCTCAGTTGTCCACAAGTACTAAGCTGAAAAGATGATGAGGAGAAAGACATTTTCTTACTTCTCTAGTAACTGCAGATCTCATTTTTAAAGAGGGTAACTTTCCATCATATTTTGAAAGGTTATTTCCCATGTACATCCAATTTACCAATTTCTAAGAGAAGTTCATGTAAATAATTAAATGATAGCCTAATTAACTTAAGGGACTCCCAGATTTTCAGGTGCCTCATCTGATTTTAGCAGAGCCCTAGCATGCCCAAGTCCTGTGGAAGCCAGGTTATAGCTGGAGTCTCCAGGGTTCCCAGGTACGTGGTGGCACTCGTGCCTGCAGGTTGGCAGTACCTGAAAGGGTTTCTCTCCAGTGTGAACTAGCTGATGCCGCTTTAGTTTTGAGCTCTCCACAAAGGCCTTGCCACATTCTGCACATACGTGTACTCGAGGGCCATGAGTGTGCAGATGCTTCCTCATGGCAGAGTTATCCCTGAACATCTTCGTGCAGCCCTTAAAAAGAACAGTGAAACTCAATTAGTAGATAAGCTACTTCACATAAAGAAGGTTTTATCAGCTACAGTACAAGCATTTAAAATGCTTTTACATCCTGAATACTTTCTTAATAGTTGACCCTGAAAAGAACATCCCTTACATTTACTTTTTAAAAAGCAATACAAGAAAAACTAATCATTTGAAAAGCTGACAAAATAAAACCTAAACTCAATCCCAAACTCTTTTCTCACACAGTATATGAGCCATGTGTAGTCAAATGAATAATAGGACAGTCTTATGGAGAAGATGCAGACTCTGACAGAAGCAAATGAATAAACCAAAGCACTTAACAGGTTTCAGAGGAGGAAAAAACCCCACAAAAATCCAACCAAAAAAACAAAGACAGAAGATGAGTTCATGGATACCTATGGTGTACTCTTCAAAGTGCTATATTTCGAGAACTACAGTAGTACAAAATATTATATAGTCTCTAATATACCACATATTATTCCCTAGTACCAACTGGTACGTGCACCATCTCCCAACATTCTGTCCTCTTCCTTCTCTGTCCTCCCCATTTCTGAGAACAAATGGAGCAAGAAGGTTTCCAGCACATAACAACTTACAGGAACTACCTTGTCCAAACTGGCAGTAGCAGACTGATCAGTACCCCCTTGAGACAGAGAGTGCCACTGCTGCTGCAGTTTAAACCTACAAAGTGATACTGGGCAGCAGGACACAGAGTGAGCTAGTCCCAACTCAATCCAAAAGAAGACATATTAATTCAGGTACAGCATCACAAGTCTTAACCTGGGGGTCAATCTGCATTGACAGAGGAATACCACTCTGATTCCAGAGTGGTATTCCAGCAGTGACTTGGGGCTCTATTTACCTAATCTTTCTACATTTTTTTCACTTCTTAGTGACAATCAACAGATATCTATGATATGCTTTATAAATGTCCTTCTCAAGGTTCAAAATCCCTCATAAAATCCTATTAAAAATCATAAACCCTATTTGTACTACTAGTGATGCTGTTATACAACACTAGTCTGCCAACACCACTGTGTTATGATGCATAAACCGTACATAAAGGACTGCTAAATTGCTAATCTTAAATTCTGCCTAGAACCTCTAGCTAATTTTGAAGTGTTGTGCCACCACTCCTTGCACAGAGCAGAAGTGGGTGGGGCAAAGCAGTGCCAAAGTAAACAGACCAACCACTCTTTTTTGCATTTATTTCTAAGTCCCTTCTTGCCTCTGAGAGCAGCAGGTACAGCTACAGTATTTTTCTTTCGTTAAACTGAATTCATAAATGCATAAAGCCTACAAACATTACAAGATAGAATATGGAAGGAGAGAACATTCTTTTTTCCCCGCTTAGATGAAGTTGAGGCTATGAAAAAATAAATCAAAGAAATGAAGGTAACATTCCTCAGTATAGTAAAAAATAACTGTTCCTGTATCTCTGCATACTGTATTACAAAAAAAAAAATACACTTTTGAATGTGGAGAATTGGAAATAATCAATATAAGCACAAAGAGGAATTCAGAAAATTCCTTACATCATGGCTGTCAGAAAGTAGCCTTCTATTCATGCTCTCTAATAGATAACTCTAGTAGGTATGTACCCTGATCATTTGCTTAGGGTCACACTTATCTAGACCAGAAGTCAGCAAGATTGTGTTTGTCTTTTTAGTCACAGACTAAATTAGCTAAAAGAAGCACTATAAAAGGTGGATAATGCAGTAAAGCAACAGGCTACCAATCTGGGTGACTGGCAACATTTATTCAAGACAGAAGCTTCCTTGCTACCAGTGGATCAGAATCATATCTCAAAGATGCCTGCCTCTCTCTTTCATGATGATGCACTTTCCAGCTCTGTGGAATGTAATTCAGAGTCTTCCAATAAAGCTGACTTTGGCATCTGCACCATAAATTGCTGATTCCTGATCTAGACTCCAAATCTGTCATAGTTTCCAAGCAGAGGATATATAGATCTTAGGAACGTACTTTGAACAGCTTTCAGAACATTCTTTCAAGTATGTATTCTTGGGTGTCGGGAAATCACAACAGTAAAAGCAGCATGTTAGGGACTGTGCATCATGGTTACCAGAAGATTAGGGATGCACTAACCTTAAGACAAGGAATGGGAATAATATATTATTCAGTGAAAGGTTTTAAAGGAAGCCTCTAGAGAATGACAACTAAAATACATTTAACTGAGTGTACACTATTAACAGTAAGGTATTTTAGTTGTTCATTCTCAAGAGAAAACATCAATACAAAATTCTGATCTACAAATTGCTATCTACTCAGAAGCTGAGCACTTCACTTACTTTGTGAGGACAAGCTATCGTTCGTGGAGCATCATCTTCTTTAATTTTTCTTGGTTTCATTCTTAAAGATAAAAAAACAGTACAAAAAATATTAGTAGAAACACATTAGTAGACAGCTCTCTCCCGTAAGTGCCTCTATAATGAGCACATTTTATCCCCCAGTATTACATGTGTCAATGGTACTCACTTTACTGTTTTCAAAACCTATATTACCAGTATAATTTAGCATTTGGAATGGTCTGCTTTCCAGAAGGACCTCTCAAATACAGACTAAGACATTTAATACTATCTTCTTAATCCTCTGAATATGTGGAAATTGAGATTTTTTTTCCTGACATATGCTAATTGCAATTAGGAGGTTTTGTTTGAAAACTCCATTTATGCTGTGCCAGTACCCATGTGGCCTATTTAGCTTCACTTCCTCTCCATCTATGCAGCAGGACATGAAGGAGTATAGCTTCAATCATTCTGCAGTATTTCATCACACAAGACTTCTAAAGAAAACTCTGCAGAAGCAGGGAAAGCAGAATCAGGCAAGTTGCAGAATCTACACAGACAACATAGACATACATTTCAACCACAGAAATGGTAATTATTCTTACTTTAAGGTATTGTGCACACATATTCCACTCTTGGCAACTGGCAAGCAATCACCTATTTACTGTTGGTCACTGACAGGGATCTTCATGATTTTATGGGTGCCACTAATCTCCACTGCAACAGAAGGAGCCCAACAAACTATTGCTTGTGAGTGTTAGATCTATTTTACATACAGTAAGAGCCTGTACAAAACAACCTTAGAACAGTGTTGTAACAACCACCTATCAGAAAGTCGGAAGAGCCAGACGTGATTCTAGGGAACTGCACTTTCAGCTGTCTTTATTACTCAAACCTGTGGTGCTGTCTTCAAAAAATTAAAAAGAAAAGCTTTATCTCCATCTAACTATAGCCTTAGGTGAGTGTAAATAAATGGACCCCCATACAGCTGAGATTCCCTTAGGTGAGCAATGAGATTTTGCACATCCCCAAAACTTGCTGTGGAAGCAGAGCTAGTGTATTACTGCTTTTCCTGGCAACACAGCACACGAAAGCTCTGTGTGACAAGGTGCCTGTGTATCATATCTGTAAGTTAATCCACAGGCTTGGTGGTGCTCCCTAGTCTCAAATAGAATGAGCTTTAAATTAACAAAATAATTGGAATTATCAGAATTCCAATTCTGGTACACACTCTTCTTAATGCTAAGAAGGAAAAGTGTCTGTTGCTATCCATGACAGTTTTAATCCGCATGAGTTCCGTTTCTGGAAACTGAGATAGAAGAATAAGGCTGGGGGAAGAAGATATTTCCAAGCAATGCATGTATGTACTTTTTTTACATTCCTTTTTATTAATCTATATGAAAATGGCTAAACAGCAATTCTTAAACAAAATCTTCCCAGGAGCTGTAGAGAAAATAAACTAAAATGCCTCAATTCTGACCACAAAAGCATTTGGTTTTTGCAATCAGAGTGCAGACTTCTTTGGGACTGCCACACTCCTATGGCTGAAATCTGCTTTCACCTGCTTCCTTCACATGGACTGCTGAGAGAAGAGGGTGAATTAAGGCAAGAGCAGGGGAAAAAAAAGCCCCAGAAGTCCTGAAGACCCAGGAAAATAATCTTACAACTGCCAATGGAGTGATATGTGATGGACAAGTCTCCTATGGCTCTGTCAGCTATCACTGGTCTCTTACTCTGAGTCCTTTCAGTGCTGCAGATGTAGCAGAGTTCAAGTGATCATCTGCAGACTAAAGCACTTGACAGCCACTTCACAGACAATACTAAACCCCAAGGATTTAGAGGTTGCTTTTGCTCTTTTCTCTGAGTGGGCACTTGAGAAACTCTTGCTTGCCTCAGCATCTCCAGACTACACTTGGCAGGTACAGAGCTATCCTGAAGAACACTACAGTCTCCTGCAGGGCTACAAATACATTAACAGATATTAACAGTGACTTGTGAATGGGTGTAAGGCTTTTTTTTTTTTTTTTTGTGTTGACAAATCTCCTCTTGTGCACCACAACCAGTAGTACAACTAAGATTTCATCAACCTAAGGGCAGAAACATTCTGAATACAGCAGACTACATCTGTTCCTGTAGTAGTCTCCTCATTACCTTAATTTTCATTGTAACCATCTTTTTCAAGACTACAGACCAATTCAGTTGACCTTATTGATTAGAATTAATTTATACAATCCAACTGGAATACAGAATAGTTGTGCTGTTTTTAGTTTACAGTCTCTTTGAGTAAAGTACTAAAATACCTGACTCCAAACAAGTGATTGGGATTAACTGACTGACTGCACTCTCCAGTGAGGTTCCAGACTCAATAGTACTATAGGTACTGAGGCTCTAGGAAAACACACATACACAAAAGATGTCTTTACGGTACCCCTACAGAAAGCTTTCAACTACCTTTAGCATGGGATTCTCCTTATTATGTTTCTGTGATTTTAAAAAACAGGAAACGGGACAGAAACGAGCAATTGTTAAAATGGTCTCAGAAGAATGATTTGACAAGATGGGACATGGGAGAATAGTGTGTTATGATTTAATTCCAATAGAGAACAAACATCCTTAGGAGACAAAGCTGGTGCCAAAAACACCTCCTAATTCAATCAACCTGTTAAATATTGGCTGAGTCATCCCCCCAGCCCAAAGAAATGAAGCAAAAAAAAATTTCCTAGGTCTGAGATCTGTTTCCCTGACATGATCAGAATGAGTAAAACCACTATTGTTCCAAAGTCTTAATTGGCCACCTGGTAAAGGTGAGACCAAGAGAATCGCTAACAAGAGACGTGGCAAATAGCTTGAGTGTCAGTGTCTGCATTTGCAAACTTTGTGTTAAATCCTCTTCCTGACTCCTGTATCTTACCTCTGGTATTACCTCAATGTTTGAGAAAGAAATGCTGCAACAGTGTCATCCTAACACTGCTGCTCTGGTAGAGTGAGAAGGAAAATACCTTGGCCCAGTGCAGTAAGGAAGCTTGAGGAACCAATTGCAGGTGAACTGGGTGGTCAGACATGGGAGAGACTGCAGCATGAACATACACCCTACATTTTTCAGTTCAGTGTCTGAGCAGGCATAGAACATGAATGTTCATCCAGGACATCCTAATTTTCAGGCTTTGTTTCTAAATTAAGCAGTATCAGCCCAGTACTATACTTGAATATTTGGACACACATGACAAAAGGCTTCCGTTAAAAAATGAGTAATTTTACATCTTCTGATATTTCATGGAAGCACAGCAAGTTAAGCCTAAAATGTGGAACAAGACTGTACTTATAAACGGGGTTCCACAGATAACCAGTCTTACCAACAAAACAGCAGCAGACAATGCAAAAGAGATGGCAAATGGTGTCCAGGTTGTATCTCAGTGCCACAGGCAGGAGGAAGCTGCTGGGCCCTTTGTACACCTGGATTAAAGGCATGAGGGCATCAACATCACAGGCACAGCTACAGTACATCATTGTGTCAAAAAATGTCATCCTGCTCACAAAGCTGCAGAAGCCATATGGACAGTTGTCATAGAAGTATTTAAAAACTTATATATTCAATGCATTAGAAAAAAATCTTTTGGTCTTACTTTAAAATTAACTTTCTGCAAAAGGAGACAAGACTAGAATCTGTGCTGTTGATCTTAATTACACTGGTGCAGGTAGCTCTTGCTGGTGGTGGTTAGACTTTTGGCTCCCACCCAGTAGAGCATCTCTACCAGCTCCATCCAAGTTTTCTTAGTCTGAAATACTAATCAAAAACAGAACTCTAACAAATATCACTATTTAACACAACTACAGACACACACATTAATAGTGTGGTAGAACTTCAGAAACAGTTGCCTTTGCAGAAAGTCAATTTACACAGCAAGACCAAAATTTTCATTTCTGTGGTAAGTTTACATGTGTTGTACTGAGTCGAGGCAACTGCAAATCAATGAACTGTGACAATCAGGAAGGGTACCTCGTACCTTTTGATCGAGTCACTGGGACACTGCAATTAAAGGCTAGGTCTTAACTCGCACTGGGGGAGTGGAAGGAGGGAATGGGTGACAGCAGAGGAAGCAGGAATGTGTGCAACCCAATCTTAACTTTACAGATTAAGCTGCATAAAAGCACACTCCCTTATCCATGCATAAGAAAGACTGAGTGAAATCACATATATTAAACCACACAGTTTCTCAAAATAAAGAAAACAATATTGTCAATGCGCTGTATCTGAAAGTTAAACCTAACTACCTCCTTTCATCTACACAGCTGAACTGAGAGTACTTCACCGGTGCCAAGAGAACCTTAATTCCCACCCCAAATTCCTGTCCAACTTCATAGACTTGTCAATTGATGCAATTTTAAAAGTCAGACACAGAAATGGTGTTAAAGCTGGGAAAAAAGGAAATACAATTCGAATAAAAGTAGAGAATTTTCCCCTTGCTCCACAATTTCCCTTTTCTTGCCACTGCTAAGGAGTTTTGTGTTCTCAGCTCCTTTCTGCTCCCTCTGTACATAATGCTAATCTTAATAGCTTTACTTTCTCTCTCTCTCAGGCAACTCCTTTAACACATCCTAGAGGTCTCTGATGACCAGCAATGATATTCACCTGTGCTGATGGCCACCCCCCCACCACCTCCCCAGGAACAGTCAGAGGTAGGGAAATTATTCTCTCTGAAGTGTTACTGGCACTGCTGGTGCATTCCTCTCATTGTGCCATTCCCCTCGCACTGCCCTGCTGAGCAGAGCCAGCTTGAGCGTCACAGCCCTGTGCTGCTGCACGAGTTTATTTGTGCTGAACAACTCCTGGAACTGGCTAGACTGGCTTTTGGACAAACAAGATGAAGGGGGAGTGGCACAAGGTGTCCTAGGAATCTATCTACATACAGACAGCCACAGTTAGGAACAAAACTACCATAAGAAGTTAATTTACTCCACAATTCTATTCCTAGGTTTGTCCCAGTTATGAGGAAAATCATATGTGTAAACAGGGACATTGACATATGCAGTGTGGCACAAAGATGTCCCTTCCCCTAGAAGAATACTGGGTAAAGCAATTGTCACTTTACTGCCCTTTAAGCTTCTCTGTAACAAGAACAAAACCAATACAAAAGCATATACCTTACAAAGAGGCCTAAGTCATAAATCTGGATGACCAGAAGGCTTTGTCACTTCCAAAAAGGATGTCCTATTTCAAACTCTAATGCAGTTTCCTCTCCTTTGTTTTCTATAGGTTTGGAAAGTGGATAGAAAGGAAGGCAATTCTCACAATTGCTCTCCTTCAGAAAAGATACCAAGATCAGCAGAAAATAAAACCACTAAGAATAAAGTTTTTACCACCAGGACCCATTACTGTGCCAATTTCCCAGCTACAGGATATTCCTTCTTATTTCTTTGTTTTACTGATGTCTCTGTTCTGCTATCTTCAGACAGTTCAGTCATGTATTTGGAGGACAAGAGGGAGGGAGGGGGCAATCAGGGAATATCCTTTTTAGTAGCTTGCTTTGAGGGAATTTGCCATATGCACATTCTAGAAACATCCCTGCTACCTTCCTAAAGTTTTCACTACCAAGCAGCTATGATTTCTTCATAACTACTAAGCTGTCATCAATTTAGATTTGGATTAAGCATTTTATTCCACTGAAGGGATTTCCAGTCCCCCTGTCAAAGGTAGCAAATAAAATCATGGTAATTTATTAGGTTTTGTCCTAATTTTTCAGAGTATGCTAGAGAAAATCCAAGACTTCTAAAACAGACTAAAGCAACATGTAAAATATTATAAACTGCCAGCTAGGCGTAACTTCGGGTGGGTCATTCATCTATGCATTACTGAACATGTCGATGCTCTGACACAGCCTATTTATTCAGTTTTCAATGGAATCATAGAATGCATAAAAGCTTTTCCAGGAAAAACTGTCAGAGTTCCAGTGAAGGGATTCAGATTCCTGCTCCATGACTCAGTGACATATGCTCTAAACCAGGCAGTGAAAGACAACTGCATCGAAAGAGACCCCACAACCGCTCACTCTGCGAAAGCCACCAAGCTCTGAGCACTGGTGGCCACTGCAGCTGCTCAATTACTACAGTTCTGAATTATTTTTTTAAAGGGCTGCAGAGCTACAAGCAACTTCAAACATCAGGTTTGTCCCTTTCACTAACTAGCTCATGATCAGAATACCAGAACCTTGCTCAAAATCTACTACCACTAGAATTCAAGCTTTTTCTGTTTAAGCCTAACCTCAGAACTTTGTTTCTAATAATCAATGCCAGTATTTCAAATCAATTTATCCTTAATCTAAATAAGCTGCATTTGTTATAAATAGTGGATCTAGCCTGAGGAGGAGGTAAGTTTTATAAATGTATGGTGAGATTCCTTCCTACTTTAATGAAAACCAAAAAGCAACCCTACATAACTTTCTCTCAACTAAACAGAATGCACTTCACATACAATTTTACTAGCCAGTTCACACTTCCTTATATGTGGACAATTCTTTTTTTCAAGTAATCTAAATACAAATTTGTAATTCAAAACCTTACAGCACATAAAGATACTTAACTTTAGAAGCAATCTTCAACTTCATGTGCTGCTAAAACTTTTCAGAGTACTGCTACTGAAACTTTTGAGCTTCTGAACTGTAAAGCTATGAGCAATGTTTGGCAATTTCACAGAACTTTATACTAAACAAACACATTCTTTTAGCATGAAAAACTGTACTCCTTGAACCTCCAAAGCTAATTCCAGCCATGTAAACCAATTTTTTTCTTTCAGCTTACCATGCAAAGTTCCTAGTGATACTGCACACAGCAAGGTCAATAAGACAACTGAACAGTAGCCTGCAGGTATCAGTACTTGAATCCATCCTATTAGCTAAGGAGTCCCTTTAACACACTTCACTGCAAGAGGACAAGACCTTAACAAGAAATTTTCAAATTCTAACACACCCATACGCTTCAGGCTCAAAAGAATAAACAAACATGATAATTTAAGACATAACATACAACTGTAAGGCAAGAGTAAAAGTTTGACAGTCATCAATTCTGACCAAGAAATCAAATAACCTTTCTTAGAAAATGCATTAAATTCTCAGGTATCTACAATTAAGCTACGAGAACAATTCTTCCCAGGTTTTGAGCAACTTGGGGATATTACTAAAGGTGATATCCAAGAAAGGTGTTTCCTCTGCCATCACACATTTATCTTCTGACTGAAACAGATTACTTTTTATCTGCCGTGAGAAAACCCTATATATAAAACAGAACCTTTCCACTACATGCTACAAATTCCAGCTCTGGAACTTCCTAGAACATTCTGAAATATTATAAATATAGAAAGTAATAATTTTGAAATGTTGCCAGCAGCCATTATTTTCTCAAAAGAAACCTAACAAAAACATTCCACAATATTCAGAAATATGTAGAGGCTAGTCATTTCAAGGAGCCCAAATCCCGACAACCATTTCAAGTAGTTAAACCAATTTGAAGAAAAAAAGATTCAGTATTTGCATGGAGAATACCCTACAAGAAACTATTTCTGCTTCTAACAAAAGACAGCTATTCAGTACTTCAGTGTCTAATAGAACCAGAGTAAAGTTTTAGCATGTTTTAAAGTAATGGAGAACACCATTCTAAACACATGACAAGTAGAAATATGTAAGTTTAGAATTGAAACACTTAAACATTTGCTTTCAAAAAAATTGCATTCACTCCTCAGCAGGTCCCAGAGAGCATTACAGTAACTTTGATAAATTATAGTAAAACACAAAAGGAGAGTAGCAGTAGCTAAAACCACCTATCACTTCAGAAAGAACCTTGTTTTCACCTGTTTGTAATGTGCTTTTATACATTTCCAGATCAGTCTGAAGCAGGAAGCAAGCCCTACAGAACTATTTTACTAGGAGCCTTCAAAATGCAGAGTTCAATGGCTTTAGTGAAAGTAATTGTGGGACGAGGCCATGCTGTTATTCCTCCAGCACAAACACACTACAGAGTAACAGGACAAAACTTGTCAAAAGCAGCAAGATCAAAAAGGTGAAACAGGAATAAATGCACACACTGAACAACAAGATCCAGCAAACCAAGAAGCCAGACCAGAATTGTATCAACAGTACCTGGAAAACGGCACACACTCTCTCTACTAGGTAGTAAGGAAAACAACATGCGCCTGTCCGCCGGCTCTGAGTGTCAGAACCCGTGCACCCAAGCTCTGAAGACCAGCCAGCCGCTACAGAAATGCCAATGAATGTGACTTTACACGTTTTGCTTTCAGCCTGGCGGCAGCAGCAGCAGAACCAGCCCGCAGCGGCGGCAGCAGCAGCAACAGCATAGCCAGGCGGGGAGCGCTGGGGCCGCCCCGCACCGAGAGCGGCGCACGGGCAGCGGGCGGGCAGCGGGCGGGCGCAGCACGGGCACCGGGCGGGCACCGGGCGGGCACCGGGCGGGCCCCGCACGGAGCGCAGCGCCGCGGCTCCCGCCCGCCCGGCGCTGCCCCCTGCCGGCCGCGGGCCGCACGGCACCGGGCACAGCGCACACCCGCCCCGCAGCGCCTCCGAAAGTAAAAGTCACCTTGTCACCCCGGTCAGCCTATTGATACGTAAACGAGCGACAATTCTGACTCACCAGAGAAAATCCAAGCAGTATAGTTACCAGCTGTGAGCTGCAATTATCAGGGGCACTTGAAAGTGCAGGGCACGTGATTTAAGATCTTCAGCTTAAGAAGTGGGTGAAAAAGAACAGGAAGCTGCGTTGCCAACTAAATCCTGTAGCCTTACTATTTTCTACTGAACAACCCGAACGCAGCATTTCGTTAATTGGATCCTTTGGTGCTCAGGAATTTAAGGCTACTCACATGAAAGAAATATTCTGTCATGTAAAATCACAGAATTATTTGGCTTGGAAGGGACCTCTAGAGACCATTTAGTCCAATCCCAAGGCAGGGTTAGCTAGAGCAATGAGTGATGCAAACTACCAATGAAAGTATTTAAGTCCTGTGGAACTGGAGACTGGAAGACACTGAAGAATTCATTGCTGAATATAAAACCCTGTTATTTTAGTTCAGAACAGAGTAGCTGATGCTGTGTTAAGTCCCTTGTTTTAAAAGATAATTAAATGGAATTATAAGACATACTTAATATACCATTTCGCCTAACAGTTTCATAACTAAACCAGTGAAAGATCACAATTTTAAAGCTCCTTTCTTCCTACTTACCTAGCAAATTCAGCCAGTTGCTTGGGGTCTGAGAGGTCAATGCCAGGTATTCCACCAGGAGGAAGTTTCTTCCCTGTCATGTACTCTGAGTAATCTGGAGGAGAATTCTCTCCAATGATCTGCTCTTCCACCACTGTTTCATGGTCAATATCCTTTTTATCATCTGAAATACACAAAATACTGAATTCAATACATACTAAAGATCAAAACAGCATACAATTTATTAGCTACCTGTCAATACAAATTCACTATTGTTGCACATTTAAAAGAATACTGCACTTCCAGATTTCCACACTAATTGTGAAGAGCAAAACCACACCCATACAGTTACAGCCTGAAGAACACAGAAAGAATACAGTGAGGAAAAAAAGTAGAAATTGCGTATCTACTTCAAGCACAAACAAATACAGAAATGAGTAGAACAATCCTGTAAGTGTTGGCTGCACTTGAAAGATAATGTACTTTTCCTGAAACAATGCCTAAATATTTATTTCCCGTGACCTCCTCAGGACTAATCTTCACTATACCCACGCTGATACTCGGCAGCAGTCCCTAACTGCACAAGCCTATCAGAATAGCAGCAGACACTTAGCCTAAGATGCCAGGACTACTGATCTTTACTTCAATGTCTTAAGACTTCCCTGACCTCCAACAGAAGTGTCATCAAGACAAGAATTTTAAAAATAACTGCTGATGGGCTTCAGCATCTGCCTGTAGAATTAAGTCTTTCTCACACTTGCAGACAGACCTCAAAGAAAGCAAATAACTCAAATTGTGTGTCTCTCTCCCAAGGGGGCTTCTTCCTTCTGTGGCAAAGGCCAGCCTAAACTCTTTCCCACTCCACTATGTAAACAGCAGACTGGGATTTTTCAAAGCTTTGATCCGCAAGCCAGTTAAGATACTCTTGTTTTCTCTGCTCTAGAGCTCCTCCTATGAATTTGTGCTCAAGGACTACAGTGATATCAGGTGGAAGACCTGCTGTTGCTATCTACTCATATTCATACCTTAGAAAACATGGTACCATGCATTCTATCTCCTCTTTCTATTTTATAACAGAAACTGAGAGACACAAAAGTGACAGGGAACAGAAACATCCATCTATGTTCCTCACTGCAGTGTTCACAGCAGCAGAAAGGAAGACACAGCACCTACCCTGTTTTTCACCCTCAAATACACCTGGGACAACAGATGTACATATGGCTGTAACTACTCAGCTCAATGTAATACAACTTGACAGTACTTCTCCTACTATGTGTATGGGGAGAAGATTCTGGAAATTGTTTTATACACAAGAGGCTATACAAAAACATAAGGAAGTTGTACTTTACAGATATTTTTTAAAGAGTGGAAACACAACGTGGTAGGACAGAAATAGTATTTCACCAAATTAAAAAAAAAAAAAAAATAGGAAAACGTAAGTCAGAAAACAAAAGACAAAATGTTTGCGGATTTTTCCCCTAAACAGAAACGCAGGAAATAACATTAGTCATTACTCAGTAACTTAGATTAGGAAAGAGAGAACAAGACAAACAAATAAAAGAATATACCAGACACAAATTTCTATTCAATTTGTAATGCCTGCTTTTCATGTTTGCCACCAAGCTATTTCTAGAAATGTTACTGCTAGTTTGAGGTTTAATCTGATCTACCAGATCAAATAGCAGTTCATGTATATTCCATGGTGAAAGAGGAAAACAGACTCCAACGCTGCAAAGACAGAAGTGTAAATAAGAAAATACTACCTGCAGCATTAAACTCAAAATAAACTACAAAACTGACTATTGACCTTTTTTAGTTGACCATTCACCACCATACTACCTTTCAGTCCCTGCCAGTGCTTTAAAAAAGCAATTGAATTTACCTAAAGTGAGGATTATATATTAAGTGTTACAGCAATTGAAGGAGTTACAAATTCAAGTCAATAAGCCTCTAGTTTGGCAACAATTTGTTCTTTCTAACAGAAGCTTGAAAAAAGACTGGGAGCTCAGACTGGCAGAGAATTTTTGCAAAGCTAAACGTGACACCTTCTCTATGCTGCAGACTAGAATGAGATCAGCTGCCCTCAACAGGGCCATTTCAACAGCTACCTCGAACGTGCAGTTTGACTCTTTGATGACATTCATAACACAGACAAGTTTTCATTTCCTGCCTCGCATCAGATGAATCAACTAGGAAATTCTGTATATATTCTTAAAGATCTTCTTTCCTTCCCTAGTGTAAAGGTTTGCTATCCCACAGTGCTTTCTTGCTATTTGAGGACCAAACTGAAAGGCAGCCTTCAGTGGCTTTACTTCCCAAAAGCCTGCCAACAGAAGTCAATTCCACTGCTATATAATTCCACAGACTACTGGAGCAAATCACAAAAAATTATAAACATACTTCTTGGATAGTATAAAATATAAGAGAAATGACTATTTAGTATATTAACAGTTATAAGACAATTTTAAAAACCACCACATTTTCCTATAACAAAAAAACTTCATCTCTACAGCAGCACACACCTCCACTTCTAAAAACAAATTTAAACGAAAACAAAATACAAAAAAGTTACCCTGAAGTGTAATATCAGGCTAATATTTCTGAAAAAGTAGCAGCAGACTTCAGTACCTCTTTAGTATCGTGACCATCCTGTGGCATTATCAGGCCATTGGGAAAACAAAACAAAAACACACAAAAGAAACCTCCTCACATTTTTTGGAGGAAGTCTGGAAATGGAAAAACTTTACCAATGTCCTCTAAGCACAAATTGACTTTATTTGTGATGGCCTATCAACCTGGACTAGGCAACTCAAAGTCTGGAGGGTAAAGTGCAAGCAAACTTTCACTCAGGCTGAACTGATCATTCTCGCTGCTAACTGGGCAGGTTAACTGTTTGTTGTTTTTTGCATTCAAGCAAGTCGTGATGCCCACTACAGGCAAATTACATCCCCGTTTTCCTCTCATGAAGCATCAGAGAATCAAACATACTGCATCCAAAGCAAAGCAAAACACAGACACAACCCTGAAATTACAGTGACACCTCTGGATGACACCCATGCAAGTTACATATGGAACAGAACCATGGAGCCAGGAAGGTAAAGGAAATTAAGTACTATATATACTATCTGATCTACTTTGTTTTGTTCCTTAAAACCACCTGAGAGTATAGCAGATTCAAATATAAGGCATTTGGCTGAAGCACCATTCTTATAAATCCAATCCAGCTTTCTGTAATGAACTTGGAACAAAATTCTAATGGCCTCCCCCTATATCCTTCTATGGCAACTTGCAATAAGGTAGATATTTAGTCTAAAGTGGGTTGTTCAATGCACCTTTTTAGGACATACCCCAACACATCTTCATGTCCAGTGTCTTTCCATCTGCACAGTTCTCACTGCCCCCTAAATATGGGCAATACACATACTGAACTGGATCCACATACGGCCCTTCAAAGCAAGTATGTCAAACAGTTTTCTGCTAAAATCAGTGTTTAGCCAGTTGTATCTTTTAAATGCTAGTGAAACAACCTCAGGTTTTGAGAGAGCTAAGCTCAAGTATAAAATGAAAGAGGAAGAACCCGAGATTACTAGAATAAAACTAGTGACTCTACGCAACAAATCAGTAACAAAACATGCTAGAATCTGCTTCCCAATACTTCATCGATCACATCTTGCTCCTAATTACCATAATTTCTCCATCTCTTACAGCCTTTCAATTACACAGAAAAATCCACCCACCTTGGAATCCCATTATTTTGTGCATTTCAAGTTGCAGCTGAAAATTCTGGAACTCCCCGGCTTACTAAGATGACCCTCTTAACTCTCAACCCAAGAAGCTCTGTCATTATTTTTTCTTCAGTTTTATTCTTGATTTTCCTTGTTATTCTTGATTTTATCTAAATTGCCAAATCTCTGGGCCATCCTCCCATTACTGAGCAGGGAGAACGCAATGATGTTCAATCGGTTTTCATCTAAAGAAAACAGGGTGCAAATGGGAACTTTCGAGATACACCTGGTAGCAAAGCAATGACACCTGATCCTACAGCTTCCTCCTCAAGGCACCAAATTAAAAGACATTCTACTTAGCCACTAAAAGGATGAACATTTAAGCTTAAAATATGATCACACAGTTAAACACATTTGCTTTTAGGAACAGCTGAAAAGCAATTACAGGATAAAGGATGTATTCGGCAGCTGTGCAGTACCAAGGCACTGTGGTAACAGCTTGGTTATTGCTACCACATTGCAATCTCCTCAGGCAAATTAATTCATTGGTCATGTTTGGAAGCAAAGAACCGTAATTAGCTTGTTAAATAATACAGTTATTTAGCAGACACTTCTGAATGTTAAAATTCCATTTTGCACAGTATGTCATTTTTTAACCTAAACGGCTGCTAGGTTACTTTCCTTCTGACGTGCCTTGCACACAGATGGAGAACAGGTTCTTCTTTCCCTGTGTCACCCATCTCTTATTTCACACCTCTGAGACATGAACTGACAAAACCAGTGCATATATCAACAGTCATCATCTGACTTCAGCACTTATGAGACTGTGCTGAAGCACTATGACCTTCTAAGGGGCCAGCACAGGAGTGACTCGAGTGACAGGGAAGGATCCAACAGCTAGTTAGAGGATTGTAGTTTGAAGGTGGGCTAAGAAGCAAATTAACTGAGTAATTTTAGATGGTGAACCACATTCATGTATTTCACTTTCAAAACTGAAAATACATTTAAAACAAACACAAAGAACAGTCTACCTTATCACTGGAAAAAATGTCAGGGCAGATTCAATACTTACAGCAGAAGCCTGTATCATTGTCTTAATCAGAGTCAGAAATATATTGTCATCTTAGTATTTTAAACCAGAGAATCACTTTCTGTCTCCATTATAACAAACTTTATAAGAAGCTCGTTACTTATATGTCATTGCAAAGCACTTCAGCCATCCTTGATACAGCCTCACAACTGAACTAAGTGACTCATCTATCATTTATACTACATAGACAACTGGTCAGACAGCAGATGGCTGTTTTTCTCACCCCTGCAATCTGATGAAGTAAAATGAAAACCTTTCTATTTTTTGAGTTGTTGAAAAAAAACTCTTGAAAGTTTAAGAGATTTTGAAGAACCTTCTAGAAACCCAGCATGAACTCCCAAACTTCCAAATAAGGGTCCACAGCACAGGCTTCCTATATTATCAAAAATAATTTCCAAACTATACATGTAACTTCTGTATCTTTGTCTTTCCCATCTAGGGATGGGACACTTGAGCAGTTTAACATCTGTGGGCAGTGTTTGCTTGTGCTACTTCAGCCCTTAGCTTGCACACTATGCTTACAATAACTGTTTAAGCCAACACCTATTTCAGGTTTGGAAGCTTGACAGTCATTACCTAGAAGATGTAGTTACACTAATCCATTTTTCTGCCTTTGAATTTAAGCCCCAGTTGCTTGAAATTTCCAGCATTTGGTGCAACCAGCACTTAAGCACCACCTTCCCAAATGTTCCTGCATGCAAGAATCAGTTTTGCAAGCACCATCTGACAAAGTGATTTCTCTCGATCTTTCCCCTCCCCCTTCACTATTGTGCACCCAACCTGGAAAAACTCACTAAAGACAATGATTCAAGCGGAATGCAGCAAAGGTACAAATAAATTCCACTTGATAAGAACAATTTTTCTAGTACCAACTAGGGTGTCTCACTTGGACTATGTACAATTTAACTATATGCAATTTTCTGATATATTTGATATAAAGTAAACACACTACAGGAACATGATTGAACTATCCACCATATGTCCTCTTCAATCCTTTCAGAAATACACCTTTACTCACTTCTTACTTTCATTAACACATGAAGGAAGACAAATAATTGTATTCCTAAGAACTGAAAAACTGATCTGAACTAGAACACAGCACTCATGTTTCCAACAAAACACTTTAATCACGGGTCACAAGTTTGATATCACCATAGATACCAAGGTGATAAGAGAAGTTATGGTAAGTCGAAATTGTTGCCAACAACAATACTGCAATTTCTAAGAAACCACATAACAAGGCAAGGACTAAGTAGTCCCCTTTAGTCACATTGCTATATATTTCACAGATTATTTCTACACATTTCAAGAGGCGCTACAAGACATGTTATACTCATTTATGGAAGAAGATTTATGATTGGTTAAATTTAGTACCACCCCTGTACAAGCCAATGTAGTAGCACCAGCAAACAGTAACAAGGAATTAATTCACATCGTCTTCCCACACTGGTGAGCAAAGTGTCCTTCTTTCCAGTTCAAAATCCCATGCACAGCAATATAGGGCTCGTTGTTTTATCTTGATGCATGGCCTTATTTATGACTTGTCTTTTGAGTAACTTTTCACTTAGCTTTTAAAACAGTCAACTGAATCAGCATGCAAGCAAATCTTTATGTCAAAATACAGATTCAAACCTACTATATTTCCTCAAAATAAAGTAGTTTTATTCTTTAGGGAAACTTTAGAACTACCCTTTTGCAAGCCAGTGATTCTAGGGTTTTTTGGCCTTGATTTAGGTTGAGGTTTTTGGGGGAAGGTACTCAGGTTGGGGGCTTTTTGGGTTTCGGTGTATATCTCTCTGCCTCAAGTTTTTTTTCTTTTTCAATTTCTCTGGCAACAATTCAGCCTCTGATGTTTCAGGAAAAAAAAAAAAGGCAAAAATTTTTTTTTTTTTTAAAGAGGAAGAAATCCCCATCACTTGACCACATCAGACCCCTTTAAATAAATAAGCTACATATGAGGTGTAAGAGCCTGTCCAATACTCTCAGTAAAACATCACAACACTCTCAGCTGAGCAGGTTATTACCAAGGCTGTTTGAAGCTGGCGGATGGTGCCTGCATGTGCAAAGGGAGGGGAAGTCGAACTTTTTCCCTATATATTTGATTTTGCTTTTGGAAGGGCGTTTTTTGGCAAGTCAAGTCAGACTAGTTATTCTTTATTCTTCTGCATCATGGCTATAATTGAGTTAAATGTAGTAATGCAATTCAGTGTCCAGTAAATTATAAGTGGGCATCATTCCCACTGAGCTCCATGGTCATGCTCCTAAACAAGAAAACCACCAAAATCAATAAGTCTACCCTGATATAAAAGCTGTGTATGTGGGAAGAGAAGCAAATTTATTGATTATACACATACTTCACTTTGGCCAAATAATAATCAGCATGCAGTCCTAAGGAAGCATCCTATCAGGCACTCTAAATTTCTGACTGCAAATGCATGCTAGAAATTGTCAATTGATCTCAGCAAGGTCCTGTATCCTGCCAGCTCATGAGTCATACAGCCACTTGCATTCAGCTACCTCCAGCAGCTTCCACAAGCCAGCAGACTATATTAGCTTCTATTATCTTTTCTCTTTCTTGGATGGTCAGGTCTAATAAAACTACTAGCAAGGGAGTTTATTCATACAGTGATACAGAAGCACACAGAACACCATCCTACTAAATAGTATATGGAAAACTCTTCATCGAGAAGTAATGAACTTCAATCAAATACATTGGGTTGTCAACTGACATGCCAACAGTTAGTGTCGGACAACTCCGTGAAACTTGCTAAAGTAGTCACTTGTGTTTAAAAAGAGAGTAAAAATCCATACCACTGTGCTTTCCATCTTTTCAGGCAGGAGAACTCAGCTGTCCAATACACCTTCCCTTCTACACTGCCCTTTCTAACAACCTCTAGTCATTTGCAAGCATCACAGAGTACAAACATTTTCGACTACATCAAAAGCTTCAAGAGTATCTCTGTGACTAGACTCCTAAAAAATTCGAAAGAGCACAAAAATTCTGATATGCGAGACAGATTACCAACTCACTATACAAAAAACACCCACCAATTTAAATATTACGTGAACTGTATTATTCGACCTCTTTTCTTCACATTTATGTAACTTACGGACAGAACTCTGATTACAGAGCATTGCTGCCGGCAATACACTTTTGTAAAAACTAAAAAAAAAAAAAAAAAAAAAAAAAAAGGGTAGGTGCATGTCAGCTTTACTCCCAAGTCCCACAGATACTAAACACCTTCACAAGATTTTACTGCCTTTAAAAGACACTCCCCCACACACATACCAAAAAAAAATCGTCAAAAAACATAGAATCTCCCACGAAATGGTCTCCCCGTGCCTACTTAAAAAGCTTATTTAAAGCTTCACACCTAGTCGAGGAAAAGCCCGACGGTTTCCGAGCGCCAGCCAGGAATTGCCCCTTTCCTCCCCGCGGCTCCCGGGGACGGAGGTCAGCTCTGGGGCCGCCCCTCCGGCCGTCACCCCCGGCGCCCCTCGGGCTCGGAAGGGCCGGTTGTTTGCGGCCGCCCCCTCCGCGCCGGCGGGAGGCGCGGGCAGCCCCGCGGGGGCGAGGAGCTGCTTCCCCGAGCCGGCACCGCGGGCTCCGGGCGGGGACGCCCCACCCACCCGGCGGGCCGTGGCCGGGCGGCCCCCGGGCGAGCTGCACACGGTATTTCGGGGTTCGCCGTCCCCGGGCCGGGGAGCCGCGGGGTCGGGGCGGGCCGAGTTTTGGCCCGCACATCGCGGTCACGGTCCGGCGCACACGCCTCACCCACCCTCGGCCGCGGGGCGGGAGGGACGGGAGCGGAACGGCAGGCGGGGAGCCGGGGAGGGGCGGCGGGACGGGACGCGGGGGAGAAGGAGGACAGAGGGCGGCGGCGGCGGCGGCCGGGGGAGGGGAGGGAGTGCGAGGGGCAGGCGCGGAGCGGGCCTCGCGGGGAGCGGCGGCGGGGCGGGGACGGGGGGAGCGCGGGGAGGTTCGCCCCGCACCCCGCCTCCCCCTGCTGCAGAAACTACGCCATTGCGGCCTGGCCCGGGAGCCGGCGGCGCTGCCGCCCGCCCGCGCACCCCCCGCCGCCGCCATCTTGGCGGCCGCCGCCATGTTTGCCTGCTTCCCCCCGCCGCGGCCGGGCAGGAGCGGCGGCGGCAGCGCAGACCCCGCCATCTTTTCGGGGAGCCGCCATACTTGCCCTGGCGATGAACATGGCGGCGCCCATCGCACACATCAAAACATGGCCTCCCTTCAAAACAAAACTGTCCCGGCCGCACCGCGCGGCCGCCGGCGGGGCCCGCGGCCCAGGGAGGGAGGGGTCCGGCGCGCACTTACCCGAGGCCCACATGGTGACCGAGAACTCCCCCTCCAGGGTCTTGATCTGCACCTGCTTCTGCTCCCATTTCCTGCCGCCGCCGCCCTCGGCCCCGCCGCCGCCTCCCCCGCTCAGGTAACTCTTCTTGCTGCTCTTCTTGCCGCTGCCGCCCTTCTTAACGCGGCCTCCTCCGCCGGCCGAGGAGGAGCCGCCGCCTCCGCTCTTGCTGCCAGCGGCGGCCACAGTGACCAGGGTCTGCTCGATGTACTCGTCCTCCCCGGCGGGGGCCGGCACAGGGATGAGGATCTGGTCCTCGAACCCGTCGTCGGCGCGCAGTCCGTCCGAGTCGTCTCCCCCCACCACCTCCTCGCGGGTCTGCACCAGGATCACCTCCTGGTGGTGGTGGTGCAGGTGGAGCTGCCCCCCGCCGCCGCCGGCCGCGCCGCCGCCCGCCCCGCTGGGGTCCCCGTCCGACACCAGCGGCTGCAGCGCGATCATGGGCTGGTGGTGGTGGTAGTGATGGGGCGGGTGGTGCGGGCCGCACTCCTCGCAGCACTCGTCCTCCTCCTCCTCCTCCTCGTCCTCCTCGCCGCCCACCACGGTGGTCTCTATGGTCTCCACGGGGATGGTCTCCACCTCGATCTCGTGCAGCTCCACGATCTCGGCCGGCATCTCTGAGCCGTCCGTGGCGATGTACAGGGTGTCTCCCGAGGCCATGGTGAGGCGAGGGGAGGGAAAGAGAGCTCCGCGGGCGGCGAGGGGCCTCCGGTCCGCTCCCCTCGGCGGATGGTGGGGCTCGGGCTCCTTTCGCCTGCCCTCCTTCTCCTCCTCCTCCCCCTTCCACACAAACACCAGCGCCTCGCAGCCAGCGACAGGCAGGGAGGGAGGAGGGAGGGAGAGAGGGAGGCAGCGCCGCCAAATCCCGACCGCGCTCCCTCGCGAGACTTCCGCCGCTGCCGCCGAGACGGACCCCAGCCCCGGAGGCCGCTGCCGCCGGACTCGCCCCCCCGCCGCCGGGCGGCCAATGGCAGCGCCCGCCGCGCCCAGGCGAGAGAAGCGGCCAACGGGAGCGCGCCGTGCCGCAGCGCCCCGCCCCCTCTGGCCCGCCTCGTCCTATCACGGAGCGCTGCGAGCGCGGGGCGCACCTCCCGGCGCGGAGCAGCCAATGGGCGCGCGGCGCTGTCTGCGCCCCGCCCCGCGCGGAAGCGCCGCCCCGGCCCCTCCGCCCGCGCAGCGCCGCGCGCGCTCGGCGGGGCCGCGCCGGCAGGGGGCGCCGGGGCCGCGCGGCCGGTGACGGGCGGGGCCGTGGCGGGGCCCGGGGCTGAGGGACGGACGGGCGGGCGGGCGCCGAGCTGCGACCGAGGCCTGGGACGTGGGCAGGGTCGGCGCTTTTGAATGTTACAGTGGAGCTGTTACCGGCACGTGGGGATGTTCCCCTCTCCTCCCTTTCTTCCTTCTCTTTCCCTTTGGAGGGTGGTGTGTTCCCCGCAGCCCTGCATGGAGATGCGCACGGACACGCCGGGGGCTTGCGGAGCTCTCGGTGCCGCCGGCAGCCCGGCCTGAAGGCACCGCCGGCGGGGCGATCGGCGGCCGAGTGCCTGAACTCACTTACCGAGAAACAGCGTTGAAAATAAGTGAAGCATTGCAGTTCAATCACCGCACAAAATTCTAGTACGCGAAGTGATCTCCTCATTTAAACTATCAAGTGTAGGTATTTGCCTTAATCATTAACACACCTCTCCGTCCCTGAGCTCTGCTGCTCCTCAGGACCCTTCCAACAGCACGCGATTATTCGTGCCTTGCAAATGCAGCAGCTCCGCGCTCCAGCCACGCTCCACTTCCTTCCCCTTCTGCCGACCGCTGCAGGACATCCCCTCCGTACCCCATCGACGGCTGCCGTGTGCAGAGGTGCCGAGGGAAAAGTAGCGCTCGTGAGTGTTATTTTGTTTGGGTGTTAGCTGTGTAGGGGTCAGGCCCGGTTGCCTATAAATCAGGAGCAGAATTTGGGAAGAAGCAGCTCCCTGTCCTGATGTGAACAAGCAGATGTTGTGGGTAGGAGATCGTGGACTGAGTAATTGTAAAATGTTCTCTACAGGTAGCCAGAAGTCCTTCAAAAGGACTATGTCATCCTCAGTCAGGCGTTAATGTGCTGGTGGCTCTACAAGTATGTACATCTTAAAAAAAAGGAAGTCTTGGATTATACAAAGTACATTAGTATCACTGAAGGTGAGGGTTTTAAAACAAGTCTCACAGGCCTTCTGTACTCAGGGCAAGATCATCTCCTCTTCCTTACTCCTTTTTTTGCAGCTGTTATATCACTTTTCCTTCCCCTTTTATGTTAACTACAAGTGCAGATTTGCCTCATAAGTATTTCCAAGGCTTCTGCAAGTATACATTCCATTTTAACCTTCACTTCTCAGTACACCATTGCTTTGTTTGCTCCTATCCCAAATTGCCACAATATGAAAACTGATAAAAGGTTCCTGCTAATAAATACTTTCTTCTTCTCTACCTCATCATCAAGTGTTCTCCAAGTTAGTCTAGTCCAAGTCTCAAGACACCAGTACTGAGCTTTGCCCTAATGATGAGATTAGGAAATACTTTTCTATTAAATATTAGAAATAGCAACAAATTTATTTGTGGAAATCTGGAATTTCCTTCTCTCCAGTCATACTCAGCACTCCCATTTTAACAAACTACAAGATGTAGTTTATCATAGCAAAATTCTCACAAGCTGAAAGGCTGTTTTTAGATCCTGTAAAGAGATTTCCAGAACTCTACATATAAATTCTGCCCCTCTGTTTATATCTGGAAGGACAAATGTACCAGCGTGGGAAAAATGGTTCTGTAGCTTTTAAGAACAAGATTTCAAATCTCTTTAATCCCTCAGTAAAAGTGACACGTAATTTAAAAAATGGTGAGTCATGGTATACTTTTCTATTTTTTTTTTTAGGAGAAATACATCACTCAGTTATATTTTATATTCTGAGCTTGCGTAGAGGAAACATTAATGTCACATGCATGTTAGACATGCACTCAGTCCTGCTCTTGAATTCCCATCAGAGCTGACATTGCCATCAGAGCAAGTGGGACTGGGCCTGAGTGCCTTATTTTGGGTGAAGGGTTATTTTTGGTGTTAGTGTAAATGAGCTTTGTCAAATACAAGAACAAAGTCACAAGTCTCCCTTGTTTATTGAGATTAAATTTTTGGTTCAGGTCAGTGATAATAGTTAAATAATCTTGCACAACCTTGTTTCATTTTTGTGCCTTTTTTTTTTTTTTACTGCAAGCAATTAAATAATTTCAGAAAAGGCACTTTAAAGTTTGTAAGTATCACAACCACCTAATTTTCAATTGTGTTCTCTTTATCCTGAATGAGATGATATGCTTAACTTAGATTATTTTCCATTAACAGCTTGACAAAAAAACACAGCAACAAGGAAAAATAAAGATGTGAAAGCTGCCCAGTGAAAAGGTGTTTAAAAGAAAACTTCGTGCTCTATCTACATAGCAGCGGAATTTATCCCCTTAATAATCCCTTATCTTCTTGCCCTATGCTCCCCATTTTGCTCCCCATGCTCAGAACTCCAGTTTGTTTCCTAGACACATTTAAAAAGCAAGGTATAAAAAGGTTTAATTTTAAAAATGTAAACCATCCACTGGAAATAAAAGTTACTTTTAAGCATCCCTAACAAGTGTTTAGGAATACATATTCTTACATCTGTAAGCTCTAGATGCCTCAGATTTAGCTGTTTTATTGTGGGGGGGGAGAGGGTGGGGGGTGTTCTTCCCTGGTTTCTTCCTTAAAATCTGCTGCAGGAAATTGTAGTCCACCATCAGTCTGCAGAAACCAGATTTCTACTTTTCACATGCACACACCCCCCCAGCATTGTTTTATCTCCACTCTCCGTTCTAGCCACTCCAAAATTCCTGGTAGTAGTTTCAGGTGCCAAGCACACCTGACTGAAAGAACAAAATGTCATGGGTTTTCTCCTGATAAACTCAGCTTCTGCTGTCCTGACAGCCTTCGTTTCTTTTGGATTGAGCTGACTCAACACATCTGCTTTTCTTAGCGCCAGAATGTGCAGGGAAAACCTCAGGATTCAAAGACATGGCAACTTCAAAGCCAGCACAAACTGTAGTAGTTCTGTACAGAAATAATTTTAGACAAGTTAGAAAGCTACAGGTTACTGCGAAGTCACCTCTTTTCTTTTGGTGCAGTGTTGTAAAAAAAGTAGTGCCATCCACATTTACCTGAGCCAGTACCATGCACAGGAAAAGGAAGGCAGGAGAGGAAGGAAAAGAAGACAAGATGCGTGTTCTCAAAGACATTTCTGACGCCTCGGAACTTCCTTCCTTCAGCTTTTACCTTCTACATATACTTGGCGTGAAGTACTACGGAATATTGTATGTGCTTCACTATTTTAGAGTGAAGAGAGACATCCGTGTAAGAAGTAGAGAGTTCTGCAGCAAGTTACTGCCACCATATGCACTGATGGCATACAAGGATAATTTGAAAAATCATTTTTTGTTTCAATTAACCCAAAAGAATACAAAGCTGAATGAGAGACATTGATCTTTCAGTTTCACAGGATCACAGAAGAACAGAGCTGAGATTACAAGGGATCTCTAGATAAATTCTAGTCTAAGCCCCAGCTCAAAAGTGAAGTCACATTGTTCTGAGTACTGTTCAGCCAAGCTTTGAATGTCTCCATTAATGGTGACTCCACAGCCTCTCTGGCAACTTGTTCCCATGTTTGACTGAAAGAAGCTCTTCTCATATGTTTAACAAAAACTTTGTGTATTGCAATTTGTGCCTGTAGCCTCATGTCCTTTCACTGGGCACCACTAAAAAAACATGGCTAATTTTTTTCTTTGTAATCTTAAATTTTAATTGCAATTTTATTTTGCAATTCCCGGAATGCTTAAAGCATTTGTTAAATGAAGACTACCTGCAGAGAATCAGCAGTGCTGCTCATAGCACAAGAAGATATAGGATGCTTGAGGTATTGCAGCACCCTCGTTTGGGGGAACACTTAAAACCTATCTCTCAGATATGCCCAGTATAAGTTATCTTCCTACATATATATATATATATATGTATGTATGTATATATATGTTTGTATTATACACCATATGTATGATCAGCAGGTAATGGTCAGTACTCAACATCATTAGCCACTCTATCAATATTATGCTTTTACTCATGTACATTTTTTTTCTTGTGGTGAACTAGTTGTTCACAGCTTCCAGAACCACAGTTGACACTGCTGTACAGTCCAACTTTGTGTATAGTATCTGGTTATGTGATATTTGTATGAAGAGCTGTTTCTTGTTTCATACTACAGAACTAATTGTCCTGACCCTTATCTCAGCTGCATGTATCCCAAACTAGGTAGCTGTTCTGTCGAAAATAATTATTTGGCAAATATAGAAGTCTGCTGTGTTTTAAGAAAAGAAAGGTCACAGAAAACAAGTTAATCGTTCACAAAGTACAAGTGAATAACAAAATTATCAATGCTTGTTTTCTAAATATTGGAGTGATTTTTGTGGTTGGTTTTTTTTTTTTTTTTTACTATTCCCGCCCTCTTCATTTCACAGCAAAACAAAGGGAAGACTTTTGAACTGTGAAAGTTGTGAAATAAGTGAGGTTTTCACAGCCAGCATCTACAGCCTTCTCTCTTGTCTCTAGCAGGGTCAGCACACCCTTTTCCTGATTGTTTCACCCAGCCTTTCAAATTCACTGGTTTGGAAAATTCTGATATCCTATTTTCCCTTCTCTTTCTCACACAAACTATTTGTCTAAGGTTTGGGAAAGAAAGAAAGATTAGCCCTCCCATTGTAAGCCAACACCAATCACTAAACAGATAATACTTACATACCTAGTTAAATATGTGACATGGATAGCTTTTAAGATATTTCTTGCACTTGTGTAAAGAAGACCAGATAGAAAGTCACTTACTGGAGGAAAAGAAAATCAGTAGTTGATGATAAAGGGTACTCTTGCTAACACTTGTTAAATACTTATCTAGGACTAATGAATAAGTTCTGCCTATTTGAGATAGCAGGTTTTCCTTGTTATCTTCATCTAGAATGGCCTATTAATCCATTAAAACAGGAGAAGTCTTGAAAAGGAAAAAAAAAAAAAACCAAAACCTAACTCAATAAGAAATTTAAAACCTGGAATTTACAATTAATTAAAATTAAAATAATTCACTAAGTAAAATGCTAATTATCTGTGCCATCTTTCCAGAGTCCTTGTCCTAGCTCTTTGCAGCTCTGCAGGAAATGTGGTTTTAACTTTACCTTTATAGTCCTTCACAATTTAGCCTCCTTCCTAATTTAGCTTTATCTCCTGCTGATCTAATATAACTGCCACCATGCCTGGCTTTATGGCCCACTAGATTCTGCTACAAATGTCATTGTCCTCTCTCCTCAGTTTGCTAACTAAACGTGAGGGAAATCCCTGATCCCAATTTGTATATGGACTCCTGCAAAACGCCTTTAAAGCTTCATTATGAGCATAAGGTTCTGCTTGCTGACTGTGACTAGAAACAAGCAGGGAACTCTTTGTACACCTCTTTTCTCTGTTTCTCTTTCCGGTACTTTTAATAATTATTGTTTTCTTTATCACATCCTACTGTATCAAATCCTACTACAGATTCCCCTCTTAGCAGCAAACCTAGCAGCTAACACAGCTACACCAATTAATTCACTGATATTTACAGTGCTCTCCTACATTTGTCATCTGCTTGTGTTTTTGAGGCTGAACACAGTGAAGAAGGATTTTCTCTCATCAGTCATCTTGCAGAGTGATGGAAAGAGGATTTGGAATGCCACCATTCCAAACTAATTTCTAAGTTATGGTCATTAATCACCCCAGTTTCATTAAACAGGTTTTTGTTGTAAGGATCATATAATTAGTTTTTCTTGCCATATGAAAGGATGCATGAATCAGTGGAACTAATCCTCACTCCAGAAAGTCTAGTCCTTTAATTATGAAAGAGAAATACAAATAATTATTACTGAGTTTTAAACCTGATGATAATAAATGAAGTTTTTGTCCTCCTCCTGATTTCATGGCTGAGGGTAGGACACTACCCTTCCAGAAATCCTCAGTCTTCACGAAGAAATCATATTACACCAACACAGGACATGGGTGGACATATGAATAGTCTGTATCTTGCAAATGGTAGACAACACAAAAAGCAGAAATTTCTGGGGAATTAATACCTATTAGTTGAGCCAGCATGGTAGGATTTCACACCTGCCAGCACAGGCAATGTATATGAATATGTGTCCTAACTGCTCCCACTGCTCCCTGGGGCCAGGGAGCAAATCTGCAGCTCTGATTCATGCGGATTGTCCTGCAAATAGCTGGGCTTCCTATCTCTTCTCCTGCATATGCAATCCCTTGGGTTACAGACCTGGTGCTGCAAAGTGCTCAGCTCTGGCTTCTGCTGAAGTCATCGGAGAGATCCCAGTAGCATTAAGGAAGACGTAGCCCTAGAGTTTTTAATATTACATTTTAAACGAAAAATAGATTGAAATGAACAAGGCTAAATAAAAATAAATAATTTAGGTATAAAATGCCACAAGGAAAGCCCAAGGACAACTATTTTTTTAAATTAAATCAATTTAGCTAGGTTTCCATGAGGAAATAGATATTGTGACTCGACTGACACTTTGCTAAACTATGAGCAAAACCTTATACTCTTTATGTATGGGCAAAGCTGATCAATGGTTTTTCCTACTGTGCTTCTACTAGAAGGAGTTGTAACTTATCGGAAGAAAGATTGTAATTTTACTTTGTGAATTTATAGTCAAACCATAGTCCATTTTGGACGGTCTATATATGTTGCTACAATATAAATGCTAACTAAAAATGTTTCTTGAAAATAAAAACAGACTGTATAACATAATCTTGGGAATTCAGTACAGTTTGTTATCGAAGTTGTCGTCCAACTGTTCCCTGCAGAGGCAATCCTTCCTACACATCCACACTACATAACACACACAGCGAGACATTTTCAAGTGTCTTTTTTCTTCCTTTACACAAAGTTTAATCTCTGACTTCAAGAGGCTGAACAAGTACCCCTCTTAACCCCGTGTCACGCCTATTGTCAGAATGAGCTCAGCAGCACTGAAATGAAAGGTTTTTAGTGCATCACGTTGAAACCTGAGTATCGGGAAATAGGTTTGGGAAAGCAGATCTGCAGTCCAGAGAGCCCTGCCAGACAGACCAGCTCCAATAGGGTGAGCTTTCAGAGAAGAGTGCCTAGAGAAGATGGTTAGAGGGGAAGAAGAGAAATTTTCTTCAAGGACCCATGTTCTCTCATAATTCTGACAACTTTTCCACAGTGAACCCTTTAGGTTCTCATATTTGGATAGGAGATTACAAACGTTGTTACTACTTTCTGTGTTTTAAATCTTTGCTGTGGAATAGAAGTCTAGTTCCCACACTCCACTCAGGAATTTGTGTCAGGATGTAAAGCGTCCTGAAATGCCCGAGATTGGAGGGATGGTGGAAAAGCTACCCATGGGGGAAGTACTTACGGTGTGTAACAGCAAATACATCTTGTGGGAGAAAGCAATTGCAAATCCTTTGGACAACATAAACCACTCCGTGGAATAAATTACTTTGTATAAAGATTATGATTCCTTAGAGAAGCAAAGAAATATATCACGGAAAAAAAATATTTATCTAGAAGAGGAAATTGTTTCCATGTGAATTTTGCAGGAGCGATCTGTCTAAATACATTATGTACTGGATCACAGTGGTATCGTTAGTTACAGCAGCCTCGCATTTGTTAACCTCTAGACAAAACATTTTTAACTTCCTTAAGGCCGTATTTCTAAAGGAAGCGAGAACACTCGAGCGCTACCAAACCGAGTCCGTCGCTCTTGCTTAGCGAGCCTTTCCTCAGGCACCGTTCCGGTGCTCTCCGTTGTCTCCGAGGGCCGGCGGGACTCCGGGCTGGAAGGAAACCGCGTGTCCCGGGGCAGAGCGAGGGCGGAGCGGGGCGGGTCCCGGCCCGCGCTGCCGGCGCGGCGGCGGCAGGGGGCGCGCTGCACTCGCGGCGGGGCGGCCGAGGCGCCGCGGGCACCGGCGGGACCCCGGCTGAGCTCCCGCCCCTCACGGGCCGAGCCCGGCCTGCGGCGCGGCTCCCCTTGGAGCCCTCCGGCCGCAGCACGGGCCCAGCCCAGCCCAGCCCTGCCTGCAGCGCGGCTCCCCTTGGAGCCCTCCGGCCGCAGCACGGGGCGATCACAGCCCAGCCCTGCCTGCAGCGCGGGTCCCCTTGGAGCCCTCCGGCCGCGCAGCCGCCCCCGCCCCAGCTCCTCCTAAGACTCCCGCACCAGCTCCTCAGCACCCTGGTTTGGTCAGTTCATCTCACAACTCTAGCGTAGAGCTAACCCAATGGAAGGAGAAGTCCAGGATGACCTCAGGAAGGGTCAGCACAGGTGAGATGGGAAAACAAACTGGGTCTTACTGGCAAATTGTTTCTCCTGAGCTTACTTCGGTATGGGCGTGTGCTGACATGGCTCATCTACAAACTATGCTGCCTATGAAAATTTGACTTTGTTCAATAAAGTGCACCACGTTGTGAATGTTGACAGTAGTTGCATCAGGTCAGAGAGTAATACCTAATTCAAAATGACAGCAAAATCTTCACTAAAAAAGCAAATATTATAGCTGTGTTTTCTTCTGGCAATGAAAGAAGGTCCAATTTATGCAGAGAAGCAAGTAGGTAATGCAGTAACTGAAAATACAAGTCTGTCATGGGACATGGAGCTCTTACTTCAGAGAAGAAAACTATTTATTTAGAGAGAAAATTCCCAGACAACTTTATTTTAGTTCCAGAACAGCAACTTTAACAAAGATTAGTTGTTGGCACCACAAGAAGAGGAATTTAGACCTGCACGCCAGGGCAGAATTAATGCACCTCAAACTCCCAAGGCTGGCAGTAGTCACTATGAGACATATGCAGGTGTTCCTGCTGTATTTACACTATCACCTGTCCTTTCCATGAGCAGAAGGAAGTGACTGGGTTGTATAGCAGAAATACATTCATGCTGGGAAGCCAGCTGATGGAGCTTTGGGTGAGGAAGGGTGAGTCTGCCTGGATGTGTGGAACAGCGGACCAATATGTCTTGCTTCAGAGCTGTATATTGTAGGCCATGTCCTCAGAGGAGCAAAGGATTTTTGTCTTTTTTACCTTGGGATGCTGGAGATTAATGTGATGTGTACTTAAAGCTATGTAAATGAGATATTTTGATGGTAACTTGCACAGAGTCAGCAATTGTGCTCTTCCTCCTGAGTGTGTTAGGAATTTCTCTCAGCTAGGCTTCCCAATAGTTCCCAGAAATCCTGAACAAGTATGGGAAATTAAATGAGAAAGGGAGGCTACAGGTGAGAAAACCCGACCGTGTGAAGCACATTTGTGCTGTGTAAAGTGTTGTGACTTCGTGACTCTGTAGAGTTCACAGTCATTACAGTATTCATTAAAAGGGCTATTATTGCTAGGTGCCATTAACACCCTTCCCTCCCTTTTCCACTGTGAATGATTTTACTAGAATGTTGTAAAACTAAGGATGCCAAGTGGTCAGAACTGAAGACGATCTAAAGCTGGTGTTTCTTGTTTGTCTGGTACCCACAATTACTCTTGAATTAGTATTATTTGTTTGGCTTTTTATAGAAATATAAAGCATTAAATTCAGCTTTCAAAACCAGATGCCAACTCTGCCAACTCACTGGAGACAGAAAAGTTTTCTGTTCTTCTTATGTGGTCAGGTTGAATCTGTAGTAATGAGCTACATCAAGGAGAAGCTGTTTGCCTACAAAGGAGATATTAAGTTTCCATGTGTAACTTACCATAATGCAGTAGCACTGTCCTATTGGACAAGCCTTGGGGTGAAGTCTTTTTTTTTTTTTTTTTTTTTTTTTTTTTTTTTTTTTTTTTTTTGTAACTGCATGGACTGCCCCACTAATTTATTTTTTAGTCACCTTCAGCATACCTGAGCAGGAAGTGACAGAAGGGTCACATTTAGTGTCTTAGGCTTCTTCACAGGTACTGTCAACACACCAAAACATTTGAGCCAATTAGAGATTTAGGTTTAGATAACGATGCATCTGCTCTCTGAACAATCCATTTCTTCTGGAAACGTGTAATAACCTTAACTTGGTTTAACAGTCCCTTATCTGGGTTGGACCCTGCAACTTCATAAACAAGCACCAAACTTCTGCTGGAGCAATAACGAAGAAACCATTGTACTTGCAGAGAGCTGAGATGTAACAGCAAAATGGTCAAACTCCTGCTCCTGCTGCGGGTAAAACTGTTTCCCTGTACACCACAGTCCTTCCATTCAATCTGCTTTGCACCTTTCGTGATTCAAGGGTTTACATTTTAAGCTAGAAGAGAGCATCCAAAGGAGGGCAACAAACGCTGAAGGGCATTGAGGGAAGCTGTACGAGGAGCTGCTGAGGTCGCTTGGTCTGTTCATCCTGGAGGAGACTGTGGGGAGACCTCACTGCAGTTACAACTTCCTCATAAGGAGAAGAGGAGGAGCAGATCTCTTCTCTGTGGTGCCCAGTGACAGAACCCAAGGGAATGACCTGAAGTTGTGTTAGGGGAGTTTTAGGTTGGATATTAGAAAAAGGTTCTTTCTTCACCCAGAGCGCGGTTGGGCTGGAACAGACTCCCCAGGGCAGTGGTCAAAGCACCAAGCCTGACAGAGTTTAAGAAGTGTTTGGACAATGCTCTTAAGTGGATTGTGTGACTTTTGTGGATGGTCCTACGCGGGGCCAGGAGTTGGATTCAATGGTCCTTGTGCATCCCTTCCAACTCAGCTTCTGTGATTCTGTGACTTAGGGGAAAAAACTCCAACTCTCAAAAAAGCCTCCTAAAGCTTCCTAGCAGTCAAGCATCAGGGTTTTGGGTTTGTGAGTTGTTTCATTGTTCATATATTTTAGCCCTTGGTGTAACTGTTCTACCAAGACATCTTAAATAGTTCCACTTGGCTAATATAAGAGGTGACATTGTTGCCAGTGTTTGTAGGCAAAAAATTCTTGCTGAAAAATATTTACATCTCATTTTTTCAAGGCTGCTTTTTTGTTCCTTTTAATTTCCACCTGTAATAATACATTTTTAAGGGTAGGATGGAATGGTGGGTTCTAGAGACTTTCATATTGAAACAGAATGAAACAAAATTGGCGCTGATCCACATGTGATGTTGTTGTTGGAAGGACTAATGATAGGGATAGGTATAATGAGTGAAGATGGACAAGGGGTCAGGTATAGACTTGCAAAATGACATAGTGGGAACAAGGGCAGCACTTTAATTTTGGGTTTTGTGTGTGGAAACATCACTGTGTAACGTGTAACTCTGTGAATCAGAGAGGCTAGAGAGGTACATAAGGTTACCTTAGTTTTAAGGTTAGCAAGTCCTTTGCCTGGTTTTGTTACCAAGGTAGCAGTGTGATTTCCTGCTGCTCCAGCAGGGACAGTACCTGGGCAATGGTCTGCAGACTACAGGAGTGAAGTGTCATGCATCCAAGGGCTGGATTCTATCGGGACAGTTCACAAAGATTGTCAGGGCGCCAAGGAAATGTATGTCAGTCGTTGGTCGCCTTTGCACTGTTCTAGGTCTTTCACCCCTGGGAGGAGCACGCTCAACTGGGTTTTGCCCTAATCCACGGTTCTGCTTAGGGGTCTGTCTCTGGATTTATGGCGTTTGGACTACTTTTGTTTTCCAAAAGCTGTGTCTGAAAGTGGCCGGGGACCTGCAGCGCTGGAGTTCCCCTTGTGCTCTGGAGCTGCCCGAGGCGGCGATGGATGTAGTGGCTGTGCCCAGCCCCGGTGCTGGCAGCGGCACGACGGGGATCGCCACTGCCCCGCAAACGCGCCCACCCCGCCGCCTCTCCTGGCTGCCTTCGCGATCCCTGCAGCACGGCGAGCCCCGGCCGCCCGTCCCCCGTCCCAGAGTCATCCCGAGGCACGCCTTCCCGCCGGACTGCCCCCGACACCCCGGAGGGGCTCTGCAGCTCTCCCGAGCCAAGCCGCGGAGCTGTCCCGGTGCCCGCCCGCGGCGGCCGCGGGGCGGGGGCGGGCGGAGGGGCCGCCCCTCCGCGGGAGCGGGGCTATAAGGACAGCGCGGCGCGGGGCGCAGCAGCGCCATGGGGAACCGCGTCACCCGCGGGGACTTCGAGTGGGTCTACACGGAGCAGCCCCACACGCAGCGCAGGAAGGAGATCCTGGGTACGACGGGGGGTACTCGGGCAGCCGGGCCGGGCTGCGCTCCTGCACGGCAGGGGACGGGCGGGACGGGGGGTCCGCGCCGGGCGGCTCGGGCAGGTGTCCGGGCTGCTGGCTGTGCCCCCGAGGCGTGCAGCGCTCCCAACTCTCTCCGGGGATGCCGCGGCCGAATCGAGCCCGGCTGCGCCGAGCCGGGTCAGCGGTGGCAGGGGCGACACGGGCTGCGCCAGCGTCGGGAGCGGGAGCGGGAGCGGCGCTGCCGCCGGGGACGGGCGGCTCCGCCAGGCGTGCCCCGGGCGCGGGCCGGGAGCCCTCCTGCGGGCCTCGTTCCCCGTGCCTTGGTGGGGCATCAGGGTAAGCGGGCACGCGGGTCACATCTGCTGGGGGACAACAGACAGTGCCCGCTGCTTGTCGGGGACAAGGTGCACTCCTGTATTTTCGTGCTGCACACGCAGCGTGTAACTGCTCGCAGGATCGGGAGGCTTATTTTTGTGGGGGGTTTGGGCTATTCCGAAGATCGTTTTTGAGAATAGTTGATAATTCGGAATTGTCGCAGAGTATTGTTGTGTATCTCCTAAAAATACATTTCCAACATTTTATTAATAAAAAATATTTTGATTTTCCCTCCTCTTTTCATTTGGGTGGGTTGGTAATTTTGTTTTCTTCCCTCTAATGAGCATGATAAAGTTTTTAAAGAACTTTTATAAAATGGCAATGGAACTTCTGACTGAGTTGCTGCACAAGGTATATTGTAATTAGGTGCAGTTTTTTAACTCCCACACAGTCTTAGAAATTAATCCAAGATTAATCTAAATTACAAAAACATTTCCAGTATATTTGCAGTCATGGAATATCCATATCCAGGTTTGAATTACATCCAGGAAAATAATAATTATTTTACTATGTAATCATGATAGTCAAATTACGTCAGTATAGCAAAGGATGCTTTTTGGTGTTGGGCTCCCCATCCCTTCAGTCAAGGGGGCTACATTTTGGTGACCTAAGGGTAGGAGGGTGTATGGTGGGTCTCTGCCCTTGCTGCTTGCTTGTGGTTTTGGTTGTGCTATAGAATGGGGAGGGCAAACCATGATGAAGCTGTAAGGAGGTACTTGGACTCCCTTGTTGCAGCAAACTCCTTTTAGGACTCTTCAGCGGCACACTTGCAGAGGTTTTGCCCACCCCCTCTTTGGGTTAAGAACAAGCAATTGGAATCAAGGTACATCTCCTTCTTTACAGCTTCCCCTGCCCAGCTGTGGGAGTGGAAGGAAGGGCAGAGAGAAATACAACATGGAAATAGAGACATGAATGATCTGTGTCTGATGAGGCAGAATGAATTATAAAACCAATATCACAAATGCCAAAATGCTACCAAAAGTTGCTGACACTATCATAATATCCCACACAATATTTGTATAATGATTCTCACTCTATTATTCAAAGCCTAAGGTCACCTAGTATTCAGAGTATATAGTTACCAAAGTATTTAGTGTCTGCTAAACTGGGGTACACAGTAAGAATTGTAAATACATATGACCAAATATCTAGAAAAATCCATGTAATTTGCATTTTTGTGTACAACGATGCCTTGGGGACAGCATTCCATGCTGGTAAAGGAACTATTTCCTTCCCAATAGGTTAATGATTTAGTTGCTAAGCACTGAAACTTGATTGTTCTCTGGGCTTCAGCTTTTTAAAATGTTGGTCTCTCTCAGGCATGGCTATTTGGGTTTAAATACAAATGGAAATTATCTGTTAGGGGAAAAAAATGGGCAAACTGACAAACACGTAAGGCAGTTTCTTTCTTTATAAGTGGTGTTTCCTGGGCCGTTGCCCCAATATGTTCCTATAGAGCATCTGACAGGTAAAAAAAGTTCATCACAAATTTGTTTGTCCTGTCTTAAGAGTTAGTAGACCATGTTTCTGTAAGTCTTTTATAGTCAGTGACTATGTTGGAATGAGAGCTCCGTGAGTCCAGTCTCCCTACCATGGGCAGGGACATCCTTTGCTAGCTCAGGTTGCTCAGAGCCCCATCCCAACCTGTCCTTGAACATTTCCAGGGATGGGCCATCACAGCTTCTCTGGGCAACTTGTTCCAGTTGAGCTGCAGAACTGTGAGCAGTGTTTATCAGCTGGGCTGGCTGGAAACTGGCTTTGTGGCAGGACACTTGCCCTAGATGAGGCTTGTGATTCCTAAAGTCTATAATTATACCAGCAAATAGATTAATATTTCGCACAAGGGAGGGGAGATATTTTATCTCTTTTCTCTTTGTAGTATCTAGGTATTAAAATGTAGCTTGTGCTTAGTACTGTCTGTGTGCAACTGCTTCTGACTTAGAGTGGAGATCTCTTGCCAAGCTGGCACTTCGACCCTGATCACGTTATACATGTTCCTGAACACGTTATTCACGCTTTTCAGTTTATGAAATGGATTGTTTCATTGCTATTCTCTCACTGTCTTGTTTATGAAAAGCCTGTTACTGCCTTGTGTCAGGACTAGGATTTGTGTAATGCTGCAGTAAGCTCTGTTAGGGAAAGATCTGGTTAAAACCTTCCTGATGGAAAAGTTTGTTCATCTAGATCTGCTTAGCCTAGAGAGGGCATCCAGTAGAAATAGGATTTCTACTTTTTTGTCAGTAAGGATTTCTTGGACTGAAAGACTTGGAGAAACTGTGCTCTGGTTAGTGGGAAGTGTTGATGGCTTTTCACTCTTGAGAGGTGAAAAAAATCATTGCTTAAATGCAGACAACACCATAATCATACAATGTATGGTCATTCCACCTGCAAACAATTTCCCAAATGCAAGCAATGAGCAATATGTTGTGACATGGGAAGAGTGAGATCATATTTGTGCCATGGGCTGGATCTAACTTTATAAAATTACTGTAAGTTAGACAGAAAATATCTTGTCTCACAGGCTCCTTAGGGAAGCACTTGTTTGCTGCTGAGGATGAGAACTGAATCAATGTTGCTCAGGATAGACCAGGAACATCTGAATATGAGCCAACATCCAAGAATGCTTAATAGTTATGTAATTAGTTTTTTGGCAGGTTATTTTGGAGTGGAGATGGTGCAAGTGTTTTATATATACTTTATCCTGTAGGAAGCCTGAGACATTAGCCTATGGGGATAGGTAGAACAAAATAAAATGCCAAAATCCATTTTATTTTAGCATTTAACTGATCTGAGTACAGCTTCCAGCTCTGCTCTCTTATTTAGAGATTAATCTACTATGTCTTCCAGCTGTTTCTTCTGTTGTCTTTTTAAACCTCACATTTATGAAAATTCTGATAAGTTGTACATACTGAAATATGCAATATATTATGTCCCTAGCTTAAATCAAAGCTCTGAAGTACATGTGCTTCTGGCAAAGAAACTGTTTGCCCTTTGTGCTGCAGTGTGTGGGCATAGTTCTGCCCCTGGTTGTGAACATCCTCTGATGAGCACAGAGAAGAGCTGCTGTCCCAGTGCTCATGCCACTTCCCTGTGGGCATCACCTTTGAAATAAACCACCTGGGCAGAGAGAGACTGATTTAGGCATTTGTGGTCTTCCATGGGAAATGTGTTGAGTACAACCCAAGGCTTCAGCTTAGTCCATATTGCAGATTTTTCAGAAGGAGCTGGAAGCCCTCCTTCTAGCATTCCTACATCCTTCTACTCTGAACTAGCTAATAAACAAATGTAAGCAAACAGGTTACAGCTGCTGACATAGTGATGTGCTGACATCATCCACTTCTGCTGACACCGGCAGAGTGGCACCACTGTGGTACTTTCCCTCTGGTGGCCACTTCTGGGTGACCCACTGCCCTTGGACCAGCTAGCACTAAGATATTTAGAAGCTTGTGGGTGACAAATACAAGATTAAGACACTTGTCCTTGCACAGTGGACATATAAAACTTAAATGAAATTAGCTGGGCCAAAAATGTTTCTTATTATTTTGTGTACTGGACGGGTTTTTTCACAGGAGACTATGAAAAACCAGAAAGTGTTGTCATGCATATCATCCTCTGTGTAGCCTACCTGTGTCTTGACTCATGCATTGTTTGAATTAATAATAGAATTAATAATAGAATAATACAATATATTGAGTACCAGGTACATCATCAACTCAGGTTGCTCAGAGCCCCAACCAACCTATCCTTGAATGTTTCCGGGGATGAGGCATCTGCAACCTCTCTGGGCAACCTGTGGGCAACCCTTATTGTAAAATTTTCTTTCTTATGTCTAGATTAAATGTCTCCTCTTTTAGTTTGGAACTATTACCCCTGGCCTATCACAACAAGCCCTACTAAAAAGTCAGTCCCCATCATTCCTATAAACTGCCATTAGATGTTGAAAGGCAATAAGCCTTTTCGTCTCCAGGCTGAACAGCCTCCATTCTCAACTCTCTCAGCCTTTCCTTATTAGAGGTGCTGCAGCCCTCTGACAATTTTCATGACCGTCCGACTTGGTCCAACTTGTCCATGTCATTCACTGAGGACTTGGGTGTGCTGTGCTTTTATAAGCAGGTTTCTGAGCTGAGCTGCTACAAGGCAAAACACTATAATGTTAGTAAACTGTCTTCTTTTGTTTTGTTTATTTATTTGGTACAACTATCAGCTCCAGCATAGCAGTAAAGCTTACATTCTGTGCCTGGCATCTCTTTTGTCTGTTTTGGCAGGGACTCATAATCAATAGAATACAGTCCAGGGCAGCAGTATCACGGATTTTTTTTTTCCTACTTCCCTTTAACAAACCTTCTAAGTGACTTATGCTGAGGAGTATGTCCACTTTAACTTTATCAGTATGCTGCACTTGGGGCGGAAAGAAAGGAAAACTAAGAAATTAAATCTCTTTGCTACTAGTTTCTCATGGATGTAGGCAAGGCTGCTGCTCCTTTAAACCTCCATCACCACTGTCCCTTTGGCCACCTCCTGCTCTTGTTCACTTTCAAATCCCATGTTTACCAAAATGTGCAACTGTGAAGTATGTAGTGTCACATCAATGAGAAATTGTGTCTGGTGTCATCACTGGGACTTGCCTGAGTTATCTCAGGGACTGGATCAGTAGGACAGAGGATGAGTGAGAGTTCAGAACAAGGTATTTGCTGTCTCCTTAGGAGCAGGAACAGCAGGACCTGGCAGCCAATGGCCTGTCCAGGAACAATTGCTCCAGCCCTGATGATCACTGTAGGGCTGTGGTGAGTGCTCTTGGATCTCCAGAGAGAAGCATCAATGGAACAAAATACATAGATTAATTTGTCATTTTAATCACTTGGTGAGTGAGACCTGCCTCTTGAAAGATGTGTAGAACAGTGGACTCATCTTTGTGAAAAATTAATTTAGTAAATGTGTTGTTTCAGAATGGTGAACCTTTCTGAAAATGTACTTGAAGCATTTGTTGTCTCTTGACTTGTGAGAGTGGGGAATGCTGTCTCATCACCGTGGAGCAGAGAGACTGTGGAGCTGTCTGGGCAGAGTAACTAACTGCATTTACCTGCTGTACTAAAGTGCCTGTGCTGCTTTGGCAGTGTGCTGACCTTGGAGACAGAAAAGTCATCCTTGTGCACTGCTGTACATCTACACCAGTGTCCCCACCCTCCCAGCAGTGCAGTGGCTCAGCCTGGACAACTAGAAGCTGCACCATGGATAACCTATCTGCTGGCCTGAGCTAACAGACGTCCTCAGTGAGCTGGAGGCTGGAAGATGTGCTGTGCAGACACCAGAGCAGCTGGGTGTCTCCTGTACTGTACACCTTGGACTGTACAGGGCAAAATTTGGTCCCCTGCAGTCACATAACTGTAGGTGTTGTGTCCTGTCCTGTGTTGTGTGTCCATGCCTTCATCCACCCCCCTGCCCAAGCCACGGTTTCTCTGTGAGGAGAAACCTGAATTTTTCCATGCCATAGTTTCAGGATGGCTTTATCAGTATTAATGATAAACAGACACGGTATTGTGGTTTGACTAGTATGCAAAAGTTTACTGTTGGAGTTAATCATGTGTTGAATTTAATATTAAACCTTGGCAAGTTACTTAATAGCTGTCACCTGTGATAAGTGCAACCTGCCTGCATTTCTGCTTGCACACGCTGTTGCCATTTGGCAGTGACTGCTATGGAACCTTTCAAATGGAATCTGCAGTCCTTGTTGGCTGCCACAGAAAGAAATAGGTTAAAAACTTCCATTATTTTCAAATGACAGCATGCAGCATCTCTAAGCAATTTTCCCATCTAATTAAAATTTATTTTTTGGTTATTTTGGTGGGCGGAGGGGGGGAGGGGTGTCAGTGTGGCCTCAATTTGACCAGGCTGAGGAGCAGATTTAGTTATTTTAGTTTTCATCTCTTCAAGTGACTGCAGTAACTTATGTCTACCAGCCACCCGATGTGACATTTGAAGTGGCTTGACTTACTAAAGTATTTTCTGGCTTTTGGACAGATGCCCTTAGGAAAGAGATTAAGCTATATAAAACTACACATCTGTAACAGTCTTTCTGACCAGGTTATTATATTCTTGTACTTTAGAGCAAGCTTTGCATAAGTAGCACTTGATGTAAAATTTAAGTACCTATTCAGATACTAGAGACAACTTTTGGCATGTTAACTTTATTGGTGTGCAAAACATAATTTCAAGAATGGTGAAAACAGCAACAAGAAACAAAACAGCAAAACAAAACAAAAAAACCCCTGGAGTTTCTGGATATTTTTGTCAAAATATTTATCTGACTTTAGAAAGATATGAACTTTCACTACAGCTTTCCCAGCACTTAGAAAATCTCTCTCTTGCCTGAATACTCCTCATGGTGACCTTGGCCTCTTTTTCCTCACAAGATTTGAGTATATCTGCTTTGTCCTCATCTTCACAGCACTTTTCTAATCTTTGTAATCTCTAATTTCTGTCAAGATGGGCTGAAGTTGGCCAAGAGGCTCAAAGGTTATTGGAATGGTTGCAGAGCATGACCATATTAACCTGCTTCTTTAAGCAGCACTTCATCTTTTTGAGTTTCTGTAAACTTCTCAAGGTTCACTTCTACAAAAACCTTCTCTGCATCCAGCACTCAATATCTGCCACTGCTTTCAAGGTTACGTAAATTACATGTATTTTCTCCAGCCTTTGTTTATAGTAGACACAGCTGCATAGATGCAGATCATTGTAATCTGATTTTATTGTATTGGTATTATACTATGACAGTCAGATGATGTTTACTTTTTTATTCATAAAATGGGCCCATGAAAACTCACAGGGACGCTGTGTGACCTCAGGGTTCAGAATGAGTGACTTCTCTATGCAGTTATATGTGTAAGCTGCAATTACTGAGAAATGCAAAGTATGAGTTAAAGAAAGGAGGTCAGTGCATGGCTAAAAGCCATAAGGCAGCAGAAGGAATCATGTGCAAGTTAATATTGGAAGTGAGAAGTGTGGATTTGCAAAGAGATGTGAATCGGTGAACAGCACCTAGAGGATCAGCTGTACTCTGTATTTTATTTTCTTTTTCAAGGACAGATGAATGGCTGGTGGGACTGAAGATCAATAAGCTGGTCCTGGCCTGGCATGAGTCAGACTTACAGGCCTAGCCCAGCTCTCTACTGTGCTGCAGTATTTGTGAAGTCTCATGAAGCTGTTGTGTGATAATCTATGTGACTCTTATGCCTGCTTTTGGTATGTGACATAGGAACAGAGAAAAATTTGCCACACTGTACAAAATCCTGATAGTATACTGTGATGTTACTATGTGTGAAGAATTGTACCTGTTGTGAGCACTGGTAAACACTCAAATAATTAGGATTTTTTTTTTTAAATGCTGTGTTTGTCATCTAACCACAGAGCAAAACCTGGAGAGCCTGTTGCTCAGCTCTCTCCTCTGCTTGTGTGTTTGAAACAGCAGTGTGAAAAGGGCTACAAAGAAGGCAGTTGTATTCCTTTAGTGGAAAATAACATCTGAGCAAAATACAAAAGGACATTAAAAACTTGAAAACATGACAGAAGGTGTTTCTTAGAGCTTAAGTCCTGTGGGATTTGGCATATTACTACTCATCACTGTGAATCAATACTCATTGTGGGAAAGGCACATTATGCCACAGAGATACCATCAGGGTATGTTTTTTATATGTCTTTAGATATCAGTATCTATCAGAATGGGACATGATGCTGGAACTAGTGGCAACCCTGCTTTGGAATTAACATTTTATAAAACCAGGGCCTCAAACATAGTGTGATAAAACCAGAATGTCACAGTGGTGATTGTGTTTGCCTAATTATGATCTAACCAAGTTTTTCTCTGCATTTTTCCCTTTAGCAAAGTATCCAGAGATCAAGACTCTGATGGGACCAGATCCATATTTAAAGTGGATTGTATCTGGAATGGTTTTCATGCAGCTGCTGGCATGCTACTTGGTGAAAGACTTATCTTGGAAATGGATTTTTTTCTGGGCTTATGCTTTTGGGGGCTGCATCAACCATTCCCTGACCCTTGCCATCCATGATATTTCACACAACGTGGCCTTTGGGAACAAGCAGGCCAAGTGGAACCGGTGGTTTGCAGTCTTTGCCAACCTGCCCATTGGTATCCCCTATTCTGCCTCCTTCAAGAAGTACCACATTGACCATCACAGGTACCTGGGAGGGGACAGCTTGGATGTGGACATTCCCACAGACTTTGAGGGCTGGTTTTTCTGCACGCCGCTTCGGAAGCTGCTGTGGCTGTTCCTCCAACCTCTGTTCTACAGTCTGAGGCCACTGTATGTGAACCCCAAAGCAATTACACGGATGGAAATTCTTAATGCTCTCGTCCAGTTTTCTATAGACCTCGTCATTTACTACCTGTGGGGGCTCAAACCTGTTATTTACTTAATAGCAGGTACTATTCTTTGCTTGGGATTTCATCCCATTTCTGGGCACTTCATAGCAGAACACTACATGTTCCTAAAAGGGTATGAGACATACTCTTATTACGGACCTCTGAACTGGCTCACCTTCAATGTAGGCTACCACATGGAGCACCATGACTTCCCCAGCATTCCTGGATGCAGATTGCCCATGGTAAGTGTAGCATGAGCATGAGTGAGTGGGATTTTTATGAAAGCTGCGAAGCTGTGTCAAAGAAAACACTCCAAATCATAGCAATTTATCAATTTAAGGGGAAAAAAAAGGGGGAGAAATAAAGGAACAGCTTCTTGGATTTGTTTCTAATTAATTTGAAGCCAAAGATTGAGAGAAACGACTGTCAAACTGCTGTAATACTTAGTTTATTTGATGCAAACTAGAACATCCAATCCTCAGAGGGCTTGAGGAATACCTTTTGCATGACAAAATCCTCCAACAAAGCTTTAAATGGCTCGATTTACATCCCTCAGCCACTAAGTTTCAACTTTTTGAAGATTTAAAGACCCAGTTAAAGGGAGGCAGGTGGCAATTGCTATTTGAAATTTGTCTAATGATCAATCTGCTAACTGTATTGCTTGATTAACATCAAAGAAAAGTTTTTCTGTTTTTGAGATGACCTAATTTTTGGGGCATGTTCCAGCTTGACACAGGTAGCACAGGAAAATAAAGCCACACTCTGACTCCTTTTAGCTCTCATGCCCCACCCACAGAAACTGAGGAGGCCTGGTCTGTCGTTGGGAAAGTGCTGTGGCTTTCCTCCTTTGAAAGGCAAACCCCTTTTTGTTTACGTTTTATCAGTTGTGGGAATCAAATTTGCAAGGCCCAGGTGTCTAGGAATGGTTTTCCATCTCCCTCCAGGTGTGTAGCTGCTCGGTGTGTTTTAATGCAAGGGCTCCTCAGCAGGTGCTCGCAGTGTTAGAGGTACGTGACTTCCAAGGATTACTCCTACACGGAAGTTCTCTGACGTAACAGGAAGGAAACATCTTTCTGTGGGCTGATGCAAAGTTGGGAACTGCTCCTGCAAAATCCATATGAGGTGGAGGTAGAGCCTGAGGCTCAGGAGCTGTGACCTCCCCAGCACTACTGATACCACGTGCAGCTCCTGGGCTGGCACACCAGGGCACACCCTGCTGTATGGGCTCATGTTCTCCATCACAGAAACACTCCCTGAGAGGGCATTCAAATCAAGGGGAGATGTTCTTGTGTAGAAGAGCATAGGAAGCCTCTACATAGCCTGCAATTGTGTTTCATTCACTCCTTTGCTGCTGGAGGTCTGTCCTGGAGATGCTGCCTGTTCCTGGTGAGGCCCAGAGGAGCTGGTACAGCAGCCCACACTCGGATATGAAGTTCTCCTGTGAGGCACTCCCATCACTGGTACACCCGATAGCTCAGCGAGAAAGTGCATGTGCTTAGCTTTAGTTTCAAATGTTCAAACTTGTTAGATGGGCTTAGATACTTAGATCACCAAAATGAAAATAGAAGAGAAGGATGTTAGCTCAGTGTCCTGCACAAGGGAGGTGAGTGACTAATTGAACTTGCTGGGACTGTTGCTCCAGTCCTGATTGAGACCTGAAAAGCTCTTCTCCACCCACACCACAAATAGTTCAGCCTAATTCCTCGAGGCAGTGCAGCAGCAGCAAGTGTCAGCCCTCCTGCATAAAGACGATGGAGTTATTAGCTGAATTTCATGGGCTTGTGTTCATGTGTGTTTTGCTCTTTGGCAAGTGAGACTTGCCCTGCTGGTGGAGGAGAGAGCAGGTTTGTCAATCACTGTTGCCTGACAGAACTGTATGGAAGACTTGGAGTTTGACAAGAGATCAATTACAAGTAAAAATTCTATTAAAAAGAATTCTATTAAAAAAATGTCTATTTTCTTTGGCAAAACAGTTCCTGTAGAAAATCCTTTGACCATTAAAACAAATTGGTTACTCTTTTCTACAAAATGAAAAAAAAAAAAAAAATCTCTGCTCCTCTGATGAAAAGAGATAAGGAAACAGATCCTCTCTGATTAACTTTAAATCTTGAAGATAAGGAAACAGATCCTCTCTGTTTCAATCTGGAACTTCATTGCAGGTAAGAAACCTCACTGTGCTCTGCTTTGCTTAATCTCCTGGCAAATTCCTCACTCAGCAAAGATCATTTTTTTTTTTTCAGATTTAGTCTCTTAGATACTTGAACTTCTAATAATTGCATTGTGTTATATGGATTATCTCTCAGTGAGACTATTTTTGTTTTTAATTATTGGCAAATAGAAAGGGGAGTAAAGAGCTCTATTTTTAAAGATCTATCCTGCATGATTGAGATCAGGGGAGAAATAGGATTTGAGAAGAACTGGATCTTAATCTTGGAGAGTAACTAGCTTTTCAGCTTGCTTATCAGGAAAGTAAATTCATCGTTTTCCTTTGTTACAGGTGTGTCATTCAGAACATTCTGAGTAATGTGTTTGCCACTGGAAGGACCTTTACCCTAGGACTGTGACAGATTTGAAAAAGGAAGAATTAGGCTGTGAGCATAAGCTTATGGATATTAAAGATGAGTGACATGGGTGCACAGTAAGAACTTGTCCCACTAGTATAATGAGAGATTACATGAAAGAGAGACCATGAAATTTAACTTTGCAATGAAGGACCTGCTCTATGAAAAACCCCTGTAGACTTAATAATAGATTAGTCTTTAAATGAAGTCTTATGACTATAAAATATTGCATTGTTTACCAAATGAGTAAAGAGATCCATTCTTCATTGTATGAAGGACTGAGTATACTTATGGAGAGAGGAGATTGGAGAAGGAACTCTTCTAGAAGCTACAATAAAAGTGGCAGTGTTACCAGGGGCAAACTAGTTACTCATTAAGCTTGTGGGAAAAGGAAAAGACATGGTATGAAACCAGATTTATTAGACAGACAAGACCGGAAAACATGGTAGATGTGCTGGTTTTGAATTGCAGATTTCATTAACCCTATGATGGCTAGGAGGGCTAGCTTGAGTGCTTACCATCCTGTGGTGGGGATGTAAGACTATAGAGGGAACTTCTTGTAATAAGTCTTTGAGCATTCTAAATGTAATTTTGCAGCTTTGTGTCATAAGGATCTTTAGTTTCTGTATAGCCCCAGGACAAAGAGTGTGTAACAGCCATGCTGAAATACTAGGCTGCATTTAACTTTTGTACCTATCAGATATGAAGACTGTGAGTAGGGTCCTGTCGCTGTGCTCTACAAGTACAGAACCAGAACAAAAGTTTCAGTCCAAAAGATGTGATTTCTTGCCCTGCCACCTTGACCTACTTGAAGAAAAGCCTCAATATACCATGTGCCGAGTGCCTAGTAATTGTCCTGCAGACTTTGCAATCTCTTGTTATCTTTCCATGATAACAGAATCACAGAATGGGTGAGGTTCAGCTTCCCTGCTCAAACAGGGTCATCCTGGAGCACATGGCACAGGATTGTGTCCAGATGGTTCTTGAATATCCCCTGTGAAGGATATTCACTGCTTCTCTGGGCAGCCTGTTCCTGTGCTTGGTATCTGCACAGTAAAGAAGTTCTTCCTCATGTTCGGGTGGAACTTCCTGTGCATCAGTTTCTGCCTGTTGTACCTTGTGCTATTGCTCAGTAGCACTGAGAAGAGTCTGGGTCCATTCTCTTGACACCCACCCTCCAGGTACTTAAAGGATTGATGAGGTTCCCTGTCAGTTGTCTTTTCTTGAGGCTGAACAGGCTCCATCAGCTTTTTCTCATAAGAGAGATGCTTCAGTCCCTCGATCAACTTTGTCACCCTTCACTGGACTCTCTGCAGCAGTTCTATGTCCCTCTTGCACCGAGGAGCCCAGAAGTGGACAGAGCACTCCAGATGTGGCTCAATTTTCATTTACAAACTAGCAATGAGTTAAGACTTACAGTTGAGATTTGTAAGGAAGAAGGCAGGGAGGAGCTGAAGAAGATGGATCACCTACTATGCAATATATGGAGAGCCTGAGGAACAGGATTTTGGAATACTTAATTACAGTGCCATCCTCCTTAAGACAATCAATGATCTGGCCACAAAACTTGCTACCTGGAAACTGCCATTTACAGGTTTTATACTGTAACCAGAATGTAGCACTGAGGATGACTCTTCCAGCCTCAACCATACTTAATAGAGATAGAATCATTAAGGCTGGAAAAGACCTCCAAGATCATTGAGTCCAAACTTTCATCTAATACTACGATATCAACTAAACCATAGGATGAAATGACATGTTGCGTGATTTCTTGAACACTTACAGGGGTGGTGACTCCACCACTTCCTTGGGCAACTGTTGTGATGTTTGACAAGTCTCAGTGAAGAAATTCTTTCTGATGTCCAACCTTCTCCCTTGCTGCAGCTTGAGGCCTTGTTTCTCTTGTCCTGCTGCTTGTTGCTTGGGAGAAGAGGTGGAGCCCCACCTGGTTACACCCTCCTTCCAGGAGCTGAGAGTGATAAGGTCTCCCCTGAGCCTCCTTCTCTGCAGGCTAAACAACCCCAGCTCCCTCAGCCACTCCTCATATGATGTTGCATTTAAAAGGGAGCCTGCATTAAATTACTTTCTGCACTCCCACTCGCCAGTTTTTCTGGTAGATAGGGTGATAATTCTGTTTTATGTATGGAGATGCTGAAAGAAATAATGAAAAATGAGATGGTTTTGCTGAAAAACTTTTGCTTAGATCTGTTATTAAAGAGAAATGTGTTTTAAAATTATTTCCTGACATGTGTTAGTAAAATGGGAAGATGTACCTAAGGAATTTCCTTCTTTTCCATAAGAAAATCTTTCAGCAGTCCCCCTTGTAACTGCATCCATTGAATTTTCTCTTTCCTCTTTTTCTTATTGCAGTTTCACCTTCCCTTCTCCATATTTTCTGTACCTCTCCTACAGCTGACCTGCCCAGAGACCCTGGAGTGGTGCAAGTGGTGCCTGCCTTCCTGCACAGGGTGCTGCTCATGTTTGCAGAAGCTGTTGGGCTGAACATAGGCAGGCTGTTTATTGGCCTCTTCTCTGGGCCATTTTTAACTACTTTATCACTACTACTTTTGCTTTGGAGCCTTTGGGGCCAGAGGACACAGCCTGAGACATTGCTCCTAGGAGCTGAATTGGTTTCTGTGACTCTCCAGCCTTCTACTTCCATGTGCAAGGGGCAGTATAGGAAAACATCCTGAAGCTCTTGTAGTGGTCAGAATATAACATGGTGAAGAGCTCTGTAGGATAATGTAACTACTTAAGAAAACATGGTCTGGTTCAGAGGGCAAGAATACATGGGGCTCTGGAGAAGAGGGGAATGGTAGACTTGCTATGTGAACTTGAGTAGTGTAGATGAGGGCTAAACTACAGATGAAAGGCTGAATTCAGGCAGAATTTCTACAATGGAGGTAGGAAGGAAGGTCTAAGCAACTGTGTGCTAGGTAATGACCATGTCAGAGCTAGAGTGAAGCTTTTGAAGCTGGGTACCTGAGCCCCCATTTGTGTTTGCATCAGGCTTCATGAATAGCCTTCATTCAAGGGAGCTTACTGTTGAAATAGTCCTCCCTCTCATCCTCTGGCTATTTCAATTACCCTGCTAGGAAAAGGGAGGATACAATACCCAGATTAAATTATTTCTGACTGGATTTAAAGAAGGAGCATGGGGAACCAAATCTGCATGTCCAGAGATCTTGGAAACATGGAAATCACCTCTCTTCCAGAGGTTCCTCATTAACAAATATCTCTAAGTAGAAATCATGATATTGTCTGAATATCATTGAAAGTGAACCATTGAAAATGAAGTACAAACCAATGCTTTAAAGAAGGATAGAGAAAATGGTTAAGTTGGAGGTATTCAGTGGAAGACAGAATGCAGTCAGAGCTGAACTGAGTATTCCATCTCTAGCACAGCACTGCCATGGCAGGAGGACAAGGAGTGTGAGAGGTACAAAGGTAAAAGATCTTAATGGCTCTTGTACATTATCCAACCTACTTTACAGAGAAGTGTCTACTAGGAAGCTGAATTAATGAGATAATTAGCAGGGAGCCATACTAGTTTATAATTTAACTTTCACTTGAATTCTTACCTTTTCAATAACAGTCAAATGCTGTGTTAAGGTTGCCCCGTTATACCTTGGGTGATGATGAGACCCTTTTCCTGCATGATGATTTCTGTGTAACCCTTTCTCTCTTCACTGGAAGTCTGCACTGTGCTCAGTGCAGCTGGCTTTAAAATTCTGCAGGGTTTAAAGAGAGAAGTCATGCTGTTCAGCAAGATAAACTACTCTGTTCTAGAGCTTTGTTTGTCTAGGAGGTGGAGCTGCAATAAAACCATGCCCAAGCAGTTATGTGCAAGTGTACTATAGTTAACAGATTTTGCTGCTTCATAAATGTGTTCAAAAAGCAAAGCATCTAGTTGGAGCAGGAATAATAACTGATAACTTGGGAATCCTCACAGTTCCCTGAACCTGACAGCTTTGAAACCTCTTTGTCCTCTGGTTCTGGCTTAACTCCCACTACAAGCACCACCCCAAGGATGCACAATGCTTCTCTGATGGCAACAGTCTTAAGACCTTGGGAATTGTAGCAGGGATGAAATTTTGTTAGACTTGTGACCTAATAATGAATCTCACAGTATTTTTAATATCAGACTGAGGAGAACCACCCCTGCAATTTTCTTTGCTTGCTGGAGGAACCCATCTCTTGGATTTGCATAATGGTAGCAGAATGCAGGGTAGAAAACAAAGCGTAGGCAAGGCTGTGTCTGTCATTTTCTCAGTTGTTAATTCTCTCATACCCATAACCCTCAACAGAAGAATATTATGAATGGCAAACAGGGCTTTAAATATAGCGTGCTGGAGTCTTGGCCATTGATAAAGTGGATAAAGTATCTCATTGTGGTGATCCCACCACCTCTGAAATGAGACAAAATAGTTCTGACTGAAGGCAGCAATCCACTGCCTTTCAAGTTATGACACTGTGAGGCAAAACTTACATCAGAAATCTGCTAAGAAGTATCTAAATGCATTTAAATACATCTCATTTGGCTGTACTTCAGAAGCTCACAAGCAATAACAAGTAACTTCAGGTAATGGCTGTGCTATCAGATCTGAATGTGAAGGTTGAAACACACCTGACTCTGTTCAGCCAAACAGCTCATTCTCTCTCTTCTTCTTCCAGGTGAAGAAGATTGCAGCAGAATATTATGATAACCTCCCACATCACCAGTCCTGGATTCGAGTTCTGTGGGACTTTGTTTTTGATGACACTCTTGGTCCTTATTCAAGGGTTAAGAGACTGTGCAAGCTGGCAAAGGAAAGCTAACGGGGCAGCTCTGCCTGCTGCAGTGGAGTGTGTTTGTTCATTCCCATGACTTCAGTTTTCTGCAGAAATAGAAGGATCTTCATGTGTGCTGAATTAAAGTTGGTGCATGCTGCTTATGCCAAGAGGACGAGTGTGAAAATGAAGTTATCTAAAATTTTAGACAACTGATACTTTTTAATAAAGGATATTTGTATATTCAACCCTCAGAACCTAGATTAGAGTGAACTATGATTAGGTGAACCTTTGGTCTAGGCTTAGAATTAACTTCCTGGGGCACAAGTGCCCAAACCTAAGTTTTAGCTTTGTCTGTGGGTGGAATGTTTGCTGTGTGTTATATCTGAGCATGTGTATGTGTAGTTCATGTATGTTTCTCTTGATGCCAGATTGGAAGTAGATGCTCTGTGTGCACAGGACTGTGGAAGCAGGGAAGACTGGCATGCAGAAGTAAATGATACTCTCTGGAGAACACAAAGGTGCTTTTAGCTCAATGTCTTGTCTAACCTAGTATCTTCTGATAATTGCTAATAGCAGAATTTTTATATATGCAATGGAATATGTTTATATTTTTGTACGTCTGTAACATTATTTCAGTAGCTGCTGTTTGATCTTTATTCCAGAACTTTGTCTAAACCTTTTCTGAAAGAATTTCCATTCTTATAATACTATTGCTAACTGACAGATCTGAAATGTGGCAAGGAAAAGTCCTGTTTTTAGTGCTCCACCTACTTCCTGATCAGCAGCATGGATGTGCCTCTGAGGAACTGGGTGGTCCTTCCTCACTCACCTTTTCAACAGTACTCATAACTTCATGTATCTTACCCTTTTCCCTACTGTAAGTCCTCTGGGGAAAGGATAGGTTCTAGTTTTAATTTTTCCTTGCCAAAACTATTAGCATTCCTGATCACCTTGCTTAGTCTCCTCTATATTACACCCCTTTCTGTGCATGGGACTTAGGAGTACGTGCCAGTGAAGACATGGAGATGTCTTCATCTTCATGGTGGTATTTGTTCCTAACTTCTTTCAGAATAATGGCAGTTCTTTTCCTCTGTCATTCAAGGGGCACAACTTGACATTTGGGAAGCACATATATAAAATTGCCACTGGTGGTGTTAAGGGGATGTCCCTGGAACATGGAGATGGGGTCATTTCTCTCTATGTATCTCTTGCTTGGTGCTATTGACATTAACTTTCATCTCTCATTTCCACCTACTGGCATACTAAAATCTTCCTGCCTGTCCTCTCCTCTTCTGGCTATCTTCAATAATTTTGTATCATCAAAAACCTTAATCAACATAACCTTTTTCCAAGCAGCACAATATTTTGGGAGTCAGGAATTCAGATGCCATCTAGTAAATTCCCTCTACCACGAAAAGCTGGCAAAATATTTTTGTTCTTATAAAGTGGTTAAAAGAGAAATTATATATAAAAAATTTCTGTAGCCCTCTAACAGTTTGGGTTTTTTCTTCTGGAAATCCATGGCTGTAACAAAGAAAAATATTATTGTGCAGCCACATTAGTCCCTCAGAGTATGTGATTAGACCTGGGAAGCCTGATTTCCTCACTAAACATGATTTTGTTCCTTCCCTCAGCAGCACTGGATCCAGTGAGCCAGTCTGTCTGTTCACTAGGCAGCTGAGCAGGGTTTCTCCTGCAGCAATTTGGGCTCCACCTTCACTTCCCCATTCTCCATTTTTCTCACCTATGTGATTTTGGCACTTGGGTAAATAAATACCCAGGATTGCTCAGCAGATCAAGATCCTTTGTAATACAGGAGCTGAAAATTATTCACCAGTACTGTTTTGTGCTTTTGGATAAGAAGAACAAGAATGAGGCTTCTTCCAGCACTTCAGCCTTTACTGATTCCTTAGTGATGAACACACCTAAGACATTATATCTTAATTATTAAAGCTGCCTTTCAAGCCTTCAGCCTTTACTGATTCCTCAGTGATGAACATACCTAAGACATTATAATTATTAAAGCTGCTTTCCTCTGGTGTAGGAACTTCCATTACCTTTGTATCAGTGCTCATGTCAGGGAATTTCAGTTTTTTATTAATTTACTTCAGATTTGCTGGCACTCTGATCACATATTCAATTTCCTTTGTCTTTAGCAGCTGTTCCTCACCTCTCTTGTCCAACTTAATAAGTTAATATAAAAACCACAATAAAGATTATGCCATTTTCCTCAATATGACTGTTGTCCTTATCCTCTTTGATGAGTGACCTTACTCAGCTGTTTCATGATCCGGTCCCACATCTGCTGTGGACTACTAACCTAGCTTGACACAGAGGCTCTGGTGTAAATGAGCCAACCAAAATTGTCAGCTGCTTCTTCACCTGCCTCCCATCAGTATTTCCATCATGGTTCCAACTAGCTTAGCCTGGGCAGCCCCACAGCCCTCCTGCTCAGCACTGTCCATCTCAGCAGGAACGGGCTGGAAGCCTGCAGTGCCTGCAGATGTGTGAGCTGAGCCCCAGCATGTGGGGTGCTGCTGGAGAAGGCTGTGGTCCTGTTCTCTACATGGGCACTTGTGTGTGGTCAGTAATGTTGGCAGGAGGGTTTTTTTCACAACCACAGGGCATATGGGTTAAAAGTGTGTTCGAGTTACGTATAGTTTTATTCCCTTTGCTTAAGAATTGATCTAAATCTCCTTCATTGTTTGGACACACTAAGGCTCTGGCAAATAGCTGTATGATAGGAAGGACTGGAGAGTGATGCCACCTTAGATTTCTGCTATGTAAGATGCCTGTGGCCTGCCCTGTTGCAGTGGCTCAACAAACCCAGTATGAAAGGACACCCTTCTCTGCACAGACAGCTGGCAAACTGAATTCCTGTCTGGGAGTAGAGAATCCTCTGGTAGTACCACCACTGGAAATAAACCACCTTGCACATCCCTGTCACTGGAGCTGAAGGTTGGGAACTGGCACAGTGCTAGTGATGCCAGGACTGCTCCCCTGCCAAGCTTCACTTTCCACCCCACACACTTTGCTCCCACTATTAAGTGTCCCTGTGCAAACTTCAGCTTATTATGTCGTAATTATATGAGGCCTGCAAAGGTAATTGAAGAAAGTAAGAAAATCCCATTTATAGCAGCTGGCTGATGTTAGCACAGGGGCACACCTTATCCAGGCTGTACAACATGGTTATTAGGTGACCTTAGGCAGAATGCCACATTCCAAGGAAAAACATGAACCGTGCCAAGCACCAACCTCCAGAACCTTAGTTAAGATTACAGGAGAGTTTCACAAAACAGATGTCATCTTGAGAAGCAGGAGTTTTGAGGAGCACTTGCCATTATCAGGTATGCTATTAAATGGATTTATAATTAGGAAATGCATGAGCAGATTTAAACAAGAGAGCATTCTAATCTCTGCTGTTACGGATGCTTGTCCGGGTTGTTCATACTGGGATGGCTCCTTCTTGTGGTCCTGGGGTTGTTGCAATGTGGTGCACATCAGTGTCTACTTGCCTAAGTTCCCATGTGGAAATCTTTATCTTGCTATTTGACCTCTCTTGCATTCAGCTGGCATTAAACAGCTAACAAACATCAGTCTCAGTCTTGAGCTCACTGTTGCAATTAACTCAGATTTCTCCCATTTCTCCCATATTTAATCTACAGTATAAACAGACTGTGAAACAAAGACTCAGTTGCAAAAGGCATTTGAGTTGCTTTGAAGAGTGCTGAAGAACACCCCAAAACAAAACAGGTAACATTTTACAGCTGACTGCCAAGCAAGACTCATGCTGCCTCCTCTGCTGGGTGTCCTGTAGCAGGCTGGCTGTCCCTCCTGCATCAGGTTCTGCTCCCAAAACCAATCCTCAGGGCCCAGCTTTTAAAATAAAATTTTTATGGAAGCCTGAAGAAATGAAGGGAACTTGGAAAATACTTGACGGATTTCAGTAGTTGAACTCCACTTTTATTACTGCAAATCTGCAGGAGCACAGATGATGGGGACCTGTGGTTTTTTTCAGTGACAGCAGGAGATGTGGTGGGACAGATGGTGGCCTGAGAAGAGCCTTCACTCACTTTGGCAAGAAGTTGCTGAGGTTGTGGCAGCCTGACTGCAGGACTGGTGCTCAGCCAGCCAAGGGAGAGGGCTGGGCAGGCGAGGGCCGGGCTGCCTGGGGGAGAAGGCAGGGCTGCTGCCATCGCACCGGGACAAGGCACTCAGGCTCTCTCCTCGTGCTCTGCAGGGCAGGAGGCAGAGCTGCCACCCCACAGTGAGTCTCAGTCACCCTCCTCTTACCACCAAGTGACACAGCACTGAAGGGACAAATGAAACAAAGAAAGGCAGGGCCGTGTGGACAATAAACAGTTTATTACCAATATGAACACAGATACTGTGATGCACTGACGTACCATTTTTTAATATTGTGATAACTCTGAGACAAAGAACTTGTTGGCTGACAACTAAACATGTCTCTTTCTTCTGGTGATGCCTCAATACATTTCTGTTGGCAAAGGATCTTCATTTACATTGCAGACTACTAGTAAAATTACTTTGAAGTCATCTATCAAAAGCAAATGGTTCACGTGTGTTCTTATCTACTACTAAAAAGAAAGGTAATACATTTAAATAAGCAAATACAAAATACAAAAAAGGCTGACAAATCCAATGTGCAGTGTCAGATGAAATCTAAAAAATCCAGAAATTTAAAATTTAATAATCTTTAGATTAAGACTTGTAAAATGAAGCGAATCCAAGGCAGCAGCAAGCTTCAAAGTGTGCTGAGTCTGCTAATAAAAAGGGTGTAAGAACAAAGACAGTGCCGGTGTCCTCTCTCACCATCTTGCATGACCTTGGTACACTTAGAAATGATCCAATCTTCCTAGCATTCTTAGTACCGTCCAAATGCTTTGCAATCATTATGTTGTACTGATTCTACTCAACTCCTGCCGTATGGCTAGAAAACCAAACCAGAAAGTTAGTGCATAATGGTATATCCAGTGTGATGGAAAACGCTAAGTGCAGAGGTTGCAGAAAGTACACGCTGGAAAAAGGATGAGTGGAGGGTAAAAGGATGAGTAAGGGTAAGCAGTCAGCTGCTGGCTTGCAAACTGCAGTACTACTGTGAGAAGTTGCATCTGTGGTGTATGTGAATGCCTTATTTTGCACTGGAATGAACTAGGGAGGCTCTGAGGGCCAAGCTGCTGGGACAGTAGCGTATGGACAAGGGTCTCCAACTGCACACTGCCTCGGAGGTTTGTGAGCACACAGATCTAGGGCAAGGGCACAGGGAATGGATTTTAGCTGTTTTAGTCTCCTCTTTTTCCCCTTCCCTGTGAATCTGAGGTAGGGAGTGCAGGGTGTGGACATGCATCTTCCTATGCCCTAATATGGCCTTCAAATGGGAATTTTGCTGTGCATTTTAATAATGGCCCTGAAAAATACCCTTAATTGTGAACTGCAGAGCAATCTATAAAAAAGTACTGATACATTTGGTACAGCTGCTGTACTTTTCAATGTATTATAAAAATACAAGGCTATTTGGAAAGCTGTAATCAAGTGAAGGTCTGAAATAACTCTTCAAGCATAGGAAACCTACAGAAGATTTTTGGGAAGGATTTTCAGTTAGTTTCCTTTGTCCCCTCCTTATCCTGGACCTGGATCGGCAAGTGTGTGTGGTCAGCAAGTCACAAGTGATTTCACGCTTGCTGATTGTGATAAATTGATGTGCCATGGGCTACAGGCAGGCCCTTTCTCACCCTCCCACCTGTGAGAAACACCAGACAGTGAATTTCTCATAGGCTGGTGGTAAAAATGCTCATCAACAGCATAATAAAGGATGTAAGTGCAGTATTATGGTCAGAGCTCAGATAAGGTAGATGCTTGTTCTTCAAATGTATGTATAAATCAGAGCTTTTCAGAGAAGTCTGAAAACACCAGGGAACTCTCTGCAGTTCCTATCATCTTATCTATGGAAAATTAGTCATAAAGATGAGAAAAATAATAATTTTTCTCTTTCTTACCATCAATTATCTCCTCTTTCACTTTGTGTAACTCTCTTACAACTTCCTCCAATATTTCCTGATGAGACAAAACACAAGTCAGCTGCTCAGAATTTCCTTCTAACTGGTGGAAGAAAATGCAAGTTTAACATGGTTGTGCTTGTCCCCCACCTCCATTGCTGGTCAGAGCCTAGCACTGCTAACAGCTATGTCTGCACTCCCAGGCACGGATGCAGAGGATGCTGGCATATTTACTTGCACATTTCTGTGCAGACATTAGGATGAAATAGCAGTGAGATTGTGCTCTCTTGCTGCTCACCAGCTAGCCCTTCTCTAGGCACCTAGTTATAGAGGAAATCAGAAGACTGAACAGCTGTTTTGCTTGTACAGCGCATGCATGGGGGAAAATGGGTAGCTTGCCAAATCTCTAAAAGTGCAAATGATATTTTCACTCACCTGTTTCATTCGATCAAAATCTAAGGCATCCATAGCCACATCATTGCTGCTGCTCACTGGCTTCATCCTTGAGAAATGGAAGAAAAGCATAAAAAATGAGTCAGTTTCCTGCAATGCATGGTAAGCTGTACCCACCTGATGGTGTGGATGAAATCCACCCCAGAGCAGGAGCACCTGTGCTGGACAGGAGGTTCCCTATTGTGCTGCTCAGGAATATTTGGCAGCCAGAGAGCAGCACTGCTCCTGTATGCACAACCTGACCCTCAAAGATGCTGTGTATTTTTTTTTTTTTTTTCTTGTGTTGGGAATCTCAATTATTTCAAATTAGAAAATGCTGAGGGGATAAAGCCTGTTGAACACTGTGTTTTATTACAGCATTTGCAATTTGCAAGCTACATGTCTGGTTTTCTCTCACAGTCTCTTTCCTGTACAGCAGCCCTGTCCTGGCAAGCTAGGCTTTCACTGGGTGCTTAAGTAATAGCAGATTACAGCTTAGAAAAATTTTATTGGGAAAATAATAACCCACTAATCCTTTACTTGGAAGACTTCAATGAGTCAAGTGTGGCTTGTTGATAGTGTTATGTATCACAGTCATTTTTTATTGACTCAAACAAAACCAGTCTGGCCTTAATAGCTAGTGCACCTGAGTGTTATCAGTCTTTCTGTATGGTACTAGTCAGTGGGCTGAGCCATGATGACATCTTATAAAATAAATTAAGGAACTAGAAGCTGTTTACCTTTCTCTTTTAATCAGTAACTCTAAAACATTAAAAAAACTAACC